ATCACATTGGAAACTTACTTGGAACAGCTAGGAAATGTAAAATTTGTTTTATCACCCCCTGGTGGTGGCACTGATTGCCATCGAACATGGGAGACTTTATATATGGGTGCTGTTCCTATTGTTCTTTCATCAGGACTTGATCCATTATTTTCAAAAACAAGATCAGTTATTGCCAATGATTGGTCGCAGCTGACACAAGATTTTTTATTATCATTCAACTTTTCCCTCAATGACCACATCATACCAGATGTTTTAAATGCTCGTTATTGGCGTGAAACACTTTTCAGACATCGACATAATTATTCGCTAGTGTCACCGTAAACAATTTTATGTTTTCCCAGCGAAATAAATAAAACATATGTTTGTTTTTCAATGTGTTGATATAAAACCACGATCTCTCATTAATTATTTTTTAAAATAAAAGGCAAAATGTTTTTGGGTATGCCAACACAATTAACGTAACATAATGCAGTGGTAAGTAAAATAGGATTATTTCTGCCCTTCGCTGAAGTTTTTCAACATCATCCATACATATCAATTTTTGTCTTACAGAGTTATTTTGCTCATTGGATCAACTAAGATACATAAACAAAATAAAATAAATGCTCATTTCGTCAGGTCGTGCCTTGTTTGGTTTCATTACTTGTAAATTTGATTTCATCAAGCACCTAGTCATATGGTTCAAATAAATTCTGCAATAAATATTTTTGCTTTTAAATTTGTATTTTCTCGACAGATTGCATCTCATACTTTATGATACATTCTATACTTACTAAACTCTGCATTGAATACATTTATAAGTGTATTTAATGGCTTTTTCTGTAGAATACAACATATAAATAAATTTCATTTAACTTGTTATTCATGTCTAGCCAATTTTTGTTTTCAAGCGAACGGTAGATTCAATGGATTATTCTCTATCTTCAGTTTATGAATAATTTTACTACAGCACACACACACACATAGAGATGTAACACGAATGACTGATCTGCTACGACGAAGCAAAAATAGATTCTTGATTTTTTTAAACTTTCGCATGCCTTATTGAATCAGTTTTTCCATTTTCATTTCAAAATTTCTCGAAATAAATCAAATTCATCGAAAATATTTTCTTACTAGCCACCTTTGAAAAGTACATCATTTTATTTTTCGTCATGCACTTTCATGTTTTGGTTTAAAAGGTAAAAGCATATTTGTACTATAGATCGTTTCCATAAGTCAACACAAGAAAGACAATTTAAATGGCTTCGATGAGCTTTTTCTCATTTTAACGTATATTTTCTAAAAATCATAGAAGCCCGAACACATCCTAGCAAACCTACAGCAATCTTTGAAGAAAAAGTTAATGAAGTTCATGATCTCACTTTTTGTTCGATTATATTCAAGTCTAACTAAACGTCTTCTGATTTTTACTATATATTATGCTAATTTTGTGTCATGTTTTTCTTCTTGAAACACGAAGACCACGATCTATAAGATCTTGGTCACAATATTTCTCAAATATAATTCTAAGAAAATTCTCTATCGAAATTATTGTAAAATATGAGATCAAAGCGTGAACTGGCATTTTATTTAGTTCAAATGATATAAAACACATCGAATCACCGGTGTCTTTATACGTATATGCTTTGACTTGAACATTATGCTTCCTTATTTTTTGTTTGTTCACTTTCTTCTAAAAGCTGATAGAGCTTATCATTCACAGGAATTTTATAATATAATGTTTTGGTTTGATAATAATCAGGTTTTAATGCTAAATGGTCCATAACATCCTGTACGAGATGGGCTCGTTCAACTTCACAACCGCATGCACGATTGTGTATTGTTGTAAAATGAACATGTAAATGATAAAATGTTGGTGGATAATGAAAAAAAGCACGAATAACATTTTTTGCTATGCCATATTTTGTTGAAATGAAATCCTAAAAATATTGAAAATAACAAGAAAAGAAAATTCGAATACAAAATTTACCAATGTTTTTTCAAGTAAAGATTCGAGCAATGGTATATGTTCAGGTTTTAAATCTCGTATACTATGTATACCATGTGATTTAACAAGAACTAATAAATGTAATGAATCCATAGATTTTCCATCCCACATTATATCAGGTAATAGAAGAAACTGATCAGTTTCTAATAAAATTCGTTCACGTTCTGATTTACCATCAATTATATTATAAACCCATTGAGAATTAAGTTGATTTTGTTCAATATATGGCCGAACGATTGTTTGATAGCGTTCACTGGTTTCACTAATAAGACAACTCTGTTTTCGAGAGTACTTTTTAATATGTAATGGCGTTGCAGGATGAATAAATGCCAATTTAATATCTAACAAAAAGTGCAAATTTTTGAATTCATTTTATTCGTATTTAAAACTTGATTCAAGAACTACAGTCCTTTGATTCCAAATACAGAGAGAAAAAAAAATAGATATCTTTTTTGACTGTTCATAATTTTGACCCTTTTTGTGTACTCAAAAAGTGAGTACATACATTCTAGAATCGATCAGTGTGTCCGGCCGTCCGTAGGCACGATAACTTTCGAAAGGAGAGTCAGATCGTGATGAAATTTTCCACACCGTTCAATCTCATGAATATCTCGGTCGAGTTCGAAGATGAGAATGATCCCTCAAGAAATGGTTGAGTTATCGAAAAAATTATCATTTTTGACCAGACCATCCCTGAGGAGGGGTACAGGGATTTTTTCAAAAAATACAAATTTTTCTCAGAATTATTCACAACATACATAAATCGACTCAGTTTTTAACGCTGATTCCGAATCTGATATTAGTTTCAAACTAAATTGTAGCTCTCTAACGAAACATCGCCTGAGAAACGTCTCAAAATGCACAAAAACTGTATCCAGAAATCAAATTGCCTAGTTTCTCATGATAATTTTGGTGTTCAGACATTCTAGAATGAGACGTATGTCCCATGCACTTTTTGCAGTACACATAACTCTCGGATGAAATCCGAAGTTGCCACATTTATTTAATGTATTAAATGTGTATGGTCATATACAAGTCATGGTTCGTTAAAACCGACTAAATCTTTAAAGGCAATCATTATCAACAAACAGATATGAAGACTCATTTTATGTATTTTTTACCCTTGTCGTATTTTGTGTTTTAAATACTCTGTATATTTGTTTTTGCTTGAATTGTTATTTATACATATTAATCAGTGATTGGATTGGCACTGCGTTTATCTGCGCTTAAAAATTAAGCGATATGGCAAACTCTTCCAAAATACACACTCATACATTACAGAGGATGAAGAAGAGCGTATTACCAAAATGAGCTGTTTCAAACATTTATGTTTTGAAATATCTTCTGAAAAACTCATTACTCCAAGATATGAATGCCCATTCGAGATGATCAGGAAAACAAGCATGCTTATCCATAGATACTGAAACAGCTGATGAACGCTTGTCTCTTGTTCAACATAACTAATATGCCATACTGAGAATTCGAACTGTGATATACAAGTTGATACTAGTATAATACATTATGATACCATTTTATAACTCTCATGAAACAAAAACATCGAAAATAGCACTCCGAGACTTGTTCATTGTAATAGTTGATAGTCAGTAGTGATGTTAACTACTCTGCATAAATCCATACCATCATATAGTCTATACTATTCTTTAACAAATATCCGAACTGAATCAACATACAATAAAAATGAATATCCAAACCAAAACACATTTCTCAATCTTAATGTACGACCAAACGACTGCCAAGCTATCTTTGACTTCAACGAATGAATAAAAATCTGCTCTTTGAAATAAATTTTCACATACCATTACATGCTGATCGTGCTTCAACTGTATATTTATGATAGATATCATTAATAAAATCTACTTTAAATTGTTGTTGATCATCGTTCATTAATTTAACAACTTCATCAAAATGGAATGGTGTTTTTTCAAAAACTAATACAGCTGATTGTTTTTCACCTTCCGTTCCTTCAACTTCACCTTCAATAGCAGCAAATTTCGATTCTTGATCATCATTTAATATGCGTACTAATTTAACTTTTTTATTCCAATCTTCCATAATAAAAATCTGAAAACAAGAAAATTTTTTTTTCCAATTAATAATAATTTATCTTGTAACAAACTTCAAACATTAATAAAATCGAACTTTGGTTTAACTAACACTATGTATTTTTCTTATTAATGAAATTTTATGATTACAAAATGTCTCAATATGATATTTACTACTAACTAGAAGATTCGTCTAATGTATTGTGATAACTACATTTAAAATACGAGAAGAAGTGAAAGTTTAGAACACAAATTCAGCAATAATCAGACAATGGGTCGATTAAAAATTGAACGACATTCGATGTTTGGCTTCTTTTTTTTTGTAAAAAGAACGAAAATGCGCGACTAGCTGATAATGAAATGTTGAGAATAATTATCGAAGATTAGGAGGAAAAAAAGTTCATTGATTTTGCTCTATTTTTGTCTTGCTCGTTCAGCTTCATCAATTGCAGCCATGTCAAGCGCAGCTGTATACAAATGAATCAAACTAATTATTTGCTTTAATACCATAATAGGAGTTACAGCATAGAGAATAATGCGCCAAAGACCTATCGTATAGGCACCATATGTAATTACTATAAATCAAGATATAATTAACATATTTCAATAGTCGATTTTTTGGTTCTACCTTCAAGACCTTCGCCAAAATGAAGTAAATAAACCATTGAAAACCAAAGTTCATTGCCAGCACACATTGTAAAAAGAACTTTCTAAATAATAACACTATTAGAACCTTCGAATATAATATTCTCGAAGTCAATTGTGCGTCTCTAAATTTGCGATTTAGAATAAGAATTGACATACACCTGAAAATTCTACTTGAGTTCCTTCATTGGTACCAATAAATTCTCAAGTTTTGAAAGGACTTTTGATAGACATAACACGAAATTTGTTTTCATTATATCGAGAATGTGATCTTTTAAGATGATAAAACAGTTTTTCACGTACTCGTGATGTATAATAAAGGCGAAGAACAGGATTGCCTGAAAGATCTATTTTTTTATGACTTTCGGAACCTTTGACTGTTGCTCTAGAAGAAGAAAAATATATAAAATCGAACGAAAATCTTTGTTTTAGTTACGCATGTAAATGAAGCCAATGGCTAGCAACATCAATAGCTGCCCATAGTTGAAAGAAAAGTGCCCATGATGGATAGAACATTGCCAAGACAAAGCATAAACACATAGTTGAACATCGATCAATGAGCATATCAAACATAGCGCCGAATTTTGTACCTAAATGCAAAAATTAATTTGCCATTTTTTTGTGTATCATTAAACTACTTTGACCAAGCGCTCGAGCAGCATGTCCATCGAGTGCATCTAACAGTTCGCTTGTTAAATAACATAGAACTGTAGTTATTGGATGCGTTGGCATAAAATAAAATGAAGCAATTGAAAGAAAAATTCGTACATAACCTTAAGACAATATTCAAGTTCATTTAAAATATTAAATAAATTCAGTTTTTCTCACCAATTATATTGGGTATAAATAAAAATATATTATCTGTCTGAAGCAATGTTTCCAATGAATTAATCTTTTGAGATTCTCGAGTCATTTTTTTACTTGTCGATGAACTACTTGCCATGGTGTTTTGCTGTAATGAATCTGAAGAACAAAAAAAAATGATTTTGATTTCAAATTGAAGATAAGTAAATGTTTAGCAAAAGCTACGAGAATTACTACGAAAAACTAACTATTATTTTCTTCTATTAATTGCACGTACTGTTAATCAGTAACATTTAATTAAATACTAATAATGGTATTTGTTAAATGAATTCTTTAATTAGATTAAATCAATGAAAAAAATTAAGAATTGTTTGACAACTAGTATTTATACTGAATATATTTTATGTAAATATTAAACTAATGAAACAAAGTAAGCTTCTTTTTTTTTAAATTAGGATTTATTTTCCTTTATATAAACGTACATTCAGCCATATATTAAGTGAGTCAAAAAGAAAATCTCATATTGTTTGAAAATTATTTTAATTAATTCATGATGTAACAACAATATCTTCGTATGTTAAGTATTCGCGATAAAAAATAAAATATGAACAAGTAAAATACAACATTACTCTTCTTCCAATGACTGATAGTGGTCATACCTTCAAGCAACACTCGAAGAGTTCACTAACAATCTGATTGTTGTCATAGAAATGAATATATATAAATATATTACATAATCTAGAGAATGCATAATTTGAATGAAGTGTGTCCTTTTTAGTCTATTTTTTTATTTTGTTTCATCGTCGTGTTTAAAAATGAGACAACAAAATATGCAACCAGCCAAGAAGAAAAGCAAAACAAATTATCATTTTTTTTCTTGTTATACAGCAAAAAAACAAATAGAGTGGCAGCGAAAACAAACCGAAACATCAAATCAAAAAAGAAACACTATGACCTATCTGTATTTTTCAAAATGAAATTTTCATGGTTTTTGTTTTAAATTTTTTCAAAATAACACAATGACATAACAACGGAAAAAAAAAGAAAAAAAAAACTATCGATTGAATAGAAATGAACATATACATATATCTAGCTAAAAGCATCAGATACGAATGAATACAGACATCAATAAACAAAAGACACAAATAAAAGGTCATAGAATTGACCGTCACAATAATGTAATATGCAACAACGATAAAGAAAACTTAAACATATACAGATAATTTTCATTTCCGAGGTCGTAATTTTCGTACGTATTCTTCACTGGGTGCTTCAGGTGTTTTCTTCGGTGAGCTTGTTCGTGCTTTTTTTGCAGGTTTTCTACCTTCGTCATCATCATCATCATCGGCGTCGTCATCATCGGTTGTTGGTATTATGGAACTTTTTCCTCTTGCTTTTTTAGCTACATGTGATGTTGATGATGATGCTCCACGTTTCTTACGGCCTACTGGTGATGCTTTCTTTGCTTTTCCAACAGTTATATCGTCATCGTCATCACCATCGGATGGAATTACGTCTTGATCATTACCATCATCTGCAATGCTACTGCCTAAGAAAAAAAATTATATATATATATATAAATTCAAATAGTAAACGTTTTTATATATTTACCGGATGTTGAGCTTGTTTGATTACTAGCTGTTATGGCATCTTTAGCAATAGTAGCTGCTTGTCGTTTTGTACGCTTCGACACTTCAGTTTGATTCGTTGTTGTTGTTATTGTCGTAGTTGGCACACTGGCATCATCACTTGCTTGATTTTCTTCAACATTTGTTGAAGACGATGAAGCCATTTTTCTGCCACGTGACGACTGTCGTGTTGCTGTTGGTGTTGTTGATACGGGAGATGCTTTTGCTTTGCCACGAAGAAACTATTTTAGATATAAAATTAATCAAAAATACTGATATAAAAAATGTTGCTTTTCTCTCATTACTTTGCTTTTGGGTGCTGTAGTTTCAGGTTCAGTTGGGTTAGGTGCCTCTGTAACATTATCATTTGTTATTTCAACAGTAGGAACAGAAGGTGTTGCATCAACAGTAGCTGACGGTGCAGATGATGAAACTTCATTATTAACTTCTACTGGTGTTGACGATACTGGTTCAGGCTCAGTTGGTACAACAGATGTTTCAGCTTCTGCCGGTTTTTCGGTTGCTGCTGGTTCTTCATTTTTTTCAACTTCGTTGTTTGTTTCAACCGTTGGTTTTTCACTTTGGCCATTGGCAAGTACAGCTGTTGAATCGACAGCATCAGTTTTTTCCGTAACAGTCTCTATTGTGCTATTTTCATTTGATGTTACTTTATTATCTTTTGTATCGTTTTCTCCATTAGAAACTGGTTCTGAAGATGGAGTTATTTTGTCCGCATCACTATTATCATTATTCGTAGACGATTGATTTTTTGTTTGATTAACTAATCCACTACCAAATACAGGTTCTGTTGTTGATGGTGTAAATTCGTCGATAGATTGCATTTTCTGTTTCTTTTTATCTAATAGGAAGAAATCTAGAATCGAAAGAAAAAGAAATCACTATTCTTTGTGCACATTAAAATGTTTTGTAGTTAATAATTAGCGTTTTTTCGATGTTTGATATGTTATTTCGAAATATCTTTTTTTGTTCGCTAGGAATAATTCTATGAATGAAAAAAAAAAGAACGATGAAAAGATTGTGAAAGTTTTTTGCATCTTGTTTGCTTTTTAAGAGCACCCGCGCTCATGCTTCGTCTTAATCAATTCCTTCTTATCTTTGTTCAATTTAAAGTGCATAAGCATGTAAATGAATTAATTTAACAGTAGTAAAAAAAGAAAGTAGCGCGGAATCGTACGCGAAAATGGTATGTAGTTTTTGTGAAAATAAATGAAAAAAGTTCATGCACACAGATAAACTAAATCGGAATATTGCTAAGAGTCAACAAAATAATTAAAAAAATTTCGTCTAATGTCAAAGACATTTTGAAAGAATAAAAAAAAATGGCGACCATCGCTACTACACGGTCATTGTTATTTATATATAGTTCTTCCATTAAATGAGTCATATACGCTATTCTTTCTTTTCCTTTCTTTTTTTTCATTAATCCATCTGCCTCATTTTATTTATATCATGGAGGAGGGTATATTCTTCTTTCTTCCTCCTCCAACTAAAACGCATATATGTATGAATGAGAACGGGAAAAAGCCTCGTTGGTGTATAGTATTCGAATCAAAAACCAATATGTGGCGCTAGCTGATGGCGATACAAATGAACTGCCGGCAATATCAATAACAAAATCTGCGACAGTATGGTTTCTAAGAATTTGAAAATGAAAGGTAGCTTCCTTTTTCTTATTATATGCTAGAATTTCTTTTTCAATACATCCAGTAAATGATTTTAGTTTCGAAAAATTCATAAGATAGTTTATGTTTTAATACAATGTTGCAATCCTTTTCAGAATATTCGTTCGTTTTTATTCATACATAAGTACGGTCATCATCAAATCTAAGCAGTCTGAAGGCACTTGGCCTCCGATTGCACTTGTTTAAAAATATAGGAATCCTTAGAGGATCAAGGTTGTCAAAAATATAGGATTTTCGATAAAAAATGACAAAAATATAGGATGTTTTATACATAGTTTCTGTTGAATTGTTTTGCTGTTTTTTAACTGTCCTGCTCGAAAATCGTTTTAATGAAGCTGTTATAAACAGTTCGACTGTAGTCAAGATCCTTATGTAATTTTTTCTGCGGAAATAAGTCGCTAATTCGAGGATCATTATCATTATAAAAGTTTTTCACAAATCGATAAATAACAGTAAAGTAGATCATAAGCTTTGAAAAAACAAATACATGAAAAAGACAAATACTATTCTCATAAATTAAAGGAGAGGTTTCAGATTACGGACATGACTTCCCAAAAAATTTCAACCTAATTTTATTGTCCTGATAATCAGCATTTATTGCTTATTATTTTCGACAAGTTTATTTTGTACTTTATCATAAATCAATTTTTTCTGGTAATAAATAAGTGTAAATGAAAATGCATATACACAGGATGGTGTAAAATTTCACGAGCTTTCAGAAGATGTCGTTCCTTTTAAAAAAAGATGTTCTTTTGGTAACAGTATCTTCAAAATACAGAGCGAAACTTATTTTTTCCAGGGGTATATATATATACAGCTTTTATATCTAACTAAAACCTCACTAAAAACCCGAAACTAGTACATGATCATTTTGTGAATGTTTTTTTCTTTGAGCTATTTTGTATTTTGTACTTAGTATTAAACAATTTCTCAATCAGCCCACTAAATAGGCGAAAGGAAAAATACTATTAAAATAAATGTCACTATAATACAAGACTTTGTCCAAAACACATGATTATACACATTAAAAGTTTTTTTTTTGTCTAAAGGCAATAGCAAAATTAAGAGATTTTTGGAAATTTTCTACTTTCTTCGATAAAATATAGGAAAAATAGGAATTTTCATTAAAATATAGGACAAAAATAGGACGTTTTTGAGAATAGAGGAAATATAGGTCGAATCGCCGCCCAGGAAGGCACAGATGCCTGTGAATAAGGATTGACGTCTAGTTATATACACTCATTACAAGTCGATTGTTCAGATTGTCTGTAAATCGATGAACCATTACATTGATACTTACCTTAATTCACTGTAATCAGTTGTATCGGCTTTTGGACTATCTTCCCTGATAATTGTCTGATTTTTAAAAGTATGAATTACGGGAGCATTTTTCAAAGGTTTCAGATACATTCATATTGTCTTGAATAGAAGAAACGAAACTTCGTAAAACAACAACTGTTGATAGATTTAAGTAGACTGTAATACGACGAATGAATAAAAAATGCTCATGATATATTGTAATTACTATGTTAGTGCTTATGCAAATGATAGACATTAAAGCAATATATGTTTGAATGAAAATAATTTTAGATGTGAAGATTGTTATTTCGATATGATTATATTTGATAAATCATGATCAGATGAAACATATACTATCTTAGACAATGCATTGAGACGTAACTAGAGAGACGCGTGCAAAGCACAATACATCTCCTCCCAGCTATTGAATATCTACTTGGGTATGTTAGATTCTTACACACCCACTTCGTTTAGTGATACATGATGTGACTGACAGTGCATAGCATTTTCGAGTAATATTAATAAACATGAATTTTTTTTTTATTCTTACAAAATGTATTCAAGAAACATGCAAAGGAATATTTATGAAAGAAAATCAATTTTTAAAAGACATAATATAAATAAGAACATTCTCACTACATAATTGAACAACGTTGAGGTTTTTTAGTGAATTGATTTTCATGTTTATGTTTACGTTTAAATAAAAGTGAAAAATCGTCTACAAGCGATGATGAAATTACTGTTTGTTTTGTTCCAAAATCAGAATATAAATCATCTGTTAAAATAGTGTGATCATCAAGATGAGCTTGAAGAGCATCTTCATGGTTTTTATCGATGGTCGATAATGGTAGACATACATCAATATCTGATGTATAAATATTTTCTTTAGTAGCTGTTGGTACATGTTCATTTTGATTATTAACAAAAGGTTTTGGTTGGAAAGTGCTTGGCATTTGATTTGTTAAACCATATTGAGGCCAATTAAATGATGGCACAAAATGTGACGGTGGGTTTTCAGGCATACTTCTCAGTGTTGATTTATTGATACCCAACTTGCGCATTGGTTGAAATTGGCATATTTTAGGTGTAGGTTTTTCTTCAGATTTTTTTATTGGTATCGCATATTCGTGTATAGCTTGTTCTGTTTTTATCTCTGGTCTAGGTATTGGACTACTTCGTGGAACGGGAATGCACGATAATGGATTTGCATCATGATCATGAGTTGGTGATTTTTCTTTGAATGATAGTTGCTACATGAAGTGTTCAAATTAATGAAAGTAAGAAGAAAAAGAAACAAGAATACATACAGGTCTCGTCGATTTATCCACTGGACGTAATTGAACTTGACGTAGAAGTTCATTGAATGCTGGTGCTGGTGGAATATTTGGTGAAGGTTTTTCCAAGGTTTTTTTTCGTTTACATATTGATGATGGTGTTACATAGGTTAATTCTTGATCTGGATCACGTGCACGTAATTTATTGAATTCACGATCTAATTCTTCTGTTAGACTGGATTTTTTTGGTTTATTTGTTCGTGCTGATGTTTGAGTATATATTGTCATGGGTGGTTCAGGTGATGATACAGGTATTGGAATTGATGTTGATGTTGTTGTTGGAATAGAAATATTTAATTTTTTTGCATCTTTGTTTTTAATTGTTTTTATTAGTTCACGAATTTCTGAACGTTCAACAGATGTAAAACTCGATTGACTACGACTACGTGATCTTCTTGATGAACAAAGTGTAGAATCTGAACAGAAACTATCAAGACTTAGATTTCGACCCCGAGAACTAAATCAAAGAAGATTAGAGAGAAAAAACTTGCAAAGAAAGAATCAATTACGTTAATGATGTATTTTGACTGGGTGATCGCCGAAGTCGCCGAAAATCTTCCATAGCAGCAGTGATTAATGGATCACTACGTAGTGAACCATTTAAACGTTGTTGTAACGGCGAGTGTCTAGGATCGGAAGACGACGACGACGATGATGATGATAATAACGATGCAGTATCGATATCCGTACGATGTTGTTCTAAACATGGAGCTATTTTCTTAAGCATTGAGTTTTACTTTTGGCTTACTATTTTTGTTAATATTTCGATTTTTGATTGAATTGTTTTCTTGCGATGTTTTTCGACGTTTACTTGAATTCGATATACTGCCTTTCATTGATAGACGATCATTATTAATGCTGTTAGTCTTTTTATTTTTCTGATTATTATCTAGTGGCATTTCATCTAATGTTGATATGCGAACAATGCCACATTCAGGTACGACCATAGGTCGTTTTTTACGTTTACTAAATGATGGATTTCGTCTTGGTAAAGATGATACTTGATTTGGCGGCTGTTTTATTATCTTTTTATGTGGCGAATGTTTTCGACGACGTTTTGGTGTTAGATGCGCTTCATTTGCATAAGCAACACTTAAATTGGATCTACGAGAATGATTCATCGTGTGCCACGAATTGACTTTGGATAAACGAGTCGAATTAATTTGAGACATATGTTCAATATCAGAAAAAGATTTTGTTTTCGATGGTCGATATTCATGAGTATGAAGTACATCATCATTTGCATAAGTACGATGATGTTGCTGCCTTTTTGGAGCATCCAGTGATCGATATATAGCATTTCGATTAGGATAACTAGCTGAATGTTTTAAATGTTGATAGCGTCTATTAGAATATGATGGAAATGGAGATGTTATTGTTGGCTGTAGATTTTGCTGTTGAGGAAGGGTCAATTGTGATAATGGTCGAGAAATAGGATATGGCGCAATCAATCGCCCGAAGCGAGAAGTAGCAGGTAGACGAAATGGAACTGTGGGCCATGGCATAGATAAAGGTAGACGTGGTCTACTCATATATAATGGATACGACGGTCGCTGTTGCATCATTAAATTCATGGTGACTACTCTCATTAAGTAGAGAAAAAGATCTTAACTTTTTTGGTCATTTTCAAAGTGAAGATTTTTTTACGTTGCTCAGAGAGGAGTCAAGGTAACTTATTTGATGTATATGCATACACACACATATATATATATATATATATATATAAATAGATATATAATAATGGACACGGTGAACGCTCAATAATTGAAGAGAACGCATACGTCTTTAAAGGTCATGATCATCGCTGCGCAATGCGCACCGAGCCGAAACTGTAGCGACAACGGCAACACGACACAATATTTAAAAAAAAAGCACAAATAATACATGTATCAATACGTGGACGATGTTCAATAAAGTATGTGTGCATTTGATTGTAACAAGATTAACGAAAGATCACATATTTAACGAAAAAAAAAACTGTGCGTTTCTGTTTATTGTCATTGACATTTATAAATTTTATTATTCTCGTTTACTTTTTGAAAAAAAATCTTCGTATGTCTTATCAATATAATATCATTAATTTAAATAACAAAACAAGAATAGTGTTTCAAAATAATTTACAAAAGAAGACAATCAGTTTTTGTAAGTGTACGACATTCATTAGTATGTCTACGTTCGCATCGACACGTTGACATACTAAATGTATAATTTGCTGGACAAATAAAATCATAACGTAACAATGTTCCATGTGACGTTTGGTCGTTTGTTGTACAAAAATAAAATATTGTACAATCGTACATATCTCGATAGAGCCCAGTTCGTCGACCGGTACAATCAAATGCTGATGTTGTACCACCTGATATGCCTAGCAATTGACCTAGACCACTTAATGCGTTCATTGACGATTGAGCAATATAGGGTGCTCTTTTTGTTGTCGTCATCGTTGTTGTTGTTGTTGTTATAACAGGTTGTGTTACGCAAAATGTATCACCACCTGTTTGACACGAATGACCTGATGGCCAATCGCAGGTACATCCATCCATTGAAAATTCAAGACCCGGTGGACAGAAAAAGATATGGTATCTCAATGAAGCTATATCGTCACCTTCACAAAAATAAAATATTGAACAATTTTTACGGTCACGGTGAATTCCATTACGACCCATTCGATGGCGACTGCATATATATTCAGCATTATGAGTCAAATGTGTTATGGGTGGTGGTGGTGCCGGTGGTGTAGCTTCATGCATATGTACATCACTCGGTGTACCCGATAGAGCACTGAGAGCATTTAACAATTTTTGTAAATTTGGAGGTAATATTGGCGATGAAAGTGATGACTGAGATTGAGATTGAACATTAAAAAAACGAACAGATGGACCAGCAGCTGGTAGACGTGATTGAATAGCAATTGCTGGTGCACTAGTCACCGGTGTAGGCAGATTAAGCGTAGCAAAAACTTGTCGAGTAATTGGAAAAGGCTCTGTATTACAGAAAAATCCAGAAAATTCTAAACAAAAAATATAAATTAGATTTAATATTTTTCTATCCGTCGGTTACCATCATTATCAACACTCCAGATAAATACTCCAGCTAGTTGTTCGCCTTTTGCATATTGAGCCTTTTAAGATAGATGTGTATACTCAATCAAAACAAAAACAAAAATATTCGTTCGATGAAAATTACTTTCAATGTAGCTGAATCAATATCTTCATAACTAATCCATTGATCGCCACTAGTCATATACCAAGATTTTTCAGTATCTAACCATACTTTTTGCCAACTTCTCGAATGTTCCTTTTCGCATATCTTACAAAAAAAACAGAAGAAAACATGAAGTTAAGAAATTTCCACAGAAAACTAGATTCCAACCTCATAATAAGAAAGAAAACCTCGAGTTTTTGTATATCGACCAGGATAACCTGGACCACTGACTAGAAAAAAAATAAAATAGTTGAATCATACTAAAATTAAAATAAACAATGAAACTAACCAGGTGCATGGAGACCTTTTTGTCTACTGGCTAACGTAAATGAACGACCATAAGCTGGAATACCAATAAGAAGTTTTTCTCTAGGCACACCAAGACTCAACCATAATTTAACCAGGCCATCCTATAAAAATATAGTTCGACCAAAAAGGAAGAGAAAATGTAAAATGCATATTTTGGAGATCATTCTCTTTTCTTGAAATACATCAGTACATATCCAGAACTTTTGTTCTAATATTCATTCTATTGAGAATTTTTACTTTCTATAAAACAGGAGACTTCTGATTTTAATATATCTTTCTTTCTCATTTTCTAATTCAAGACGGATTAATCGCTGCGTAGTGTTGCTTTTGAAATTCTAAACTAGATAATTTCAGAATGACTCTTCCTGAGCGAAAGAGTTTCTATCAAATAATCATAGAAGACCAAGAAAATGATCATGTTCGATTTAATATGAGCTAATCATCGTTTATTTTTACTTACTACATTACGAAGTGATTCGGATTCAACTTGATATACTTGCTGATATAACGGAGCAAATGCTCCCGTTTTTTCGTCCCATGGCCCTTCAAGAAATCAAATAATTACGGCATGAGTCATATTGTTTATATTTACCATAAAAATCAAATGTCATCAGATTAAAATAATTGACTAATCTAACACAACATAGACAAATGTTTAGTTGAAATAGGAGTCATATATTTAGATATTACTTTTCAATTTTTTGAACTTCATATACTTTAAGAAGATGATCAACAAATGGTGCTGCTGTTAATGTTACTATCGCATTTGTCATCATTCGTTTTTGTTTTGAAATTTCCTAGGAAAATTTTCATCGGATATTATTAGACTTTTTATTTCATTTAATAAAATTTCTACGAACCTCAAGTAATGCAGTTAACGCAAATTTATCTTCTGGAACTTCTTCATCAGGAAATTCAAAGGCTATATCAACTCCATCGAAACCATATGATGCCAAAAACCTAGATATTTTTCGTAGAAACAAAAATTCTAATATCATTCGACTAGAAAACAAAAATTACCAAGAAAGACTTCGAACTAATTGTGCAGCCATTTTCGATGATTTAAGATATCGAGTATATTGAGAACTTTTACCGCCTAGTCGAATGGATAATTTTAAATCTGGATTTGTTTTTTTCAATAGAGCAAGTTCTCGGTAATGTTCTAAATAGATCAAATATAATTATTCATTGATATTGAGAGTAAATTTCAATTACCAATATCATCTTGTTGAACAGGTCTAATTTCTGGCTTATTATCATCAACAGTTGCATAAGCATAAATTATATGTGAACACATAAAAGGATCAATATATTCAATTTCAAATTTAGCTTCTCCCGACCGATATCGTGACCAATTAGTAATGTAGCATACACGATGAATTTTCGGTTTATCATTTATTTGTCGAATTGGCATTCGAGAAGTTTCTGTAGTTAATTGCTCAATTTTTTCTTCATACGAATCTTGTTCGTCTCCACGGTCAAAATCAAAATTTTTTCTTTGTACAAGACTTGTTGGTGGTGTACGAAATGGAATTTTGATTGGTCGTCGTGTAGTAATATTAGTTCGTTTTATTTGTTTGAAACTAGACGGACGAATTGTAGTTAATCGAGGTTTTACCGCATTTGTTTGTTTGACACAAGAAGGATCAGCTAATGTATTTTTAACACATCTCTGTTTTTCTTCGTCAAAAATTTGTTCATTTGCACAACGTTTAATAACATATAAATAACTGAAACCACTGGAAAAAACTGCACAAGGAAAATATGTTTGGCAATCACGAAGATCTCGGCAATAAGATTGTTTTAAATCTAAATAGAATTTAATATATTTAAATAAAAGTAAATAAGCTTTGAATCATTCTCAATCTTCTTATGATAATCTTCCTACGTAATCATTATATTATCAAACGTACTTATTTTATTTGCACTAACTTCATTTGCTTGACCTACAATGATAATCAGTAGGATCAATGTTAAATGATATACCAATGAATAATATTGACGCATATTTTAATTTTTCTTTTTAAAGCTTCGCAATGGATACGAACATTCAAAGCAGCAATAACAGCGATCAATAGCAGACACGATATAATATAACTAGGGTGTCTTTGGTGTGTGTGTGTGTGTTGAAAGAAACAAAAGAATTGCTCACTAATCAAACAATTGCATACTCCGTGCGAGACCAACATGAGATCCGCTTGTCAACAGCTTAAACTATGTATACATAAATGGTACATACCATCGACCATCAAATGTCATATACCTACACAAACATGCGCACAATCTATTGAGAACAAGTTGAACAAAACCCTACTATTCAACTAATCTATAATTCACTATAGATATATCAAATAAATGTCCATCAATACAAAAAAAACGAAGGAATTCGAGCTTAATCGAAAGTATTAGAAATATGAGAGAGAAACAAATGGATCATTCTATTTGAACAACGGCGATGGCCTTGCTTATATAAATGCTGTTCATAATTGAACATTCATCCGGCAAATGTTCATCAAAGAGAAACTAGTGTACAATGTTTTTTTTATACATTGCGAAGCAAAGATAGATATACGTTTTTTTCTTTGTCTAAGTATTCTATTGATCCTAGTTATCATTTTCAAATGTGATTCTTCAATTTATTCAATGATGTAATCAGAAACTTGTTGAAGAAAAAAAAAGGAAAGGACAAAGAGAACGAGCAAAAAAGAAGAGAAGTAATATATCATATTTGTTTCGTCATAAAAAGTACCTGCAGATATTCATAGCACTATAAATATAACTATCTATTTCAATTGGATATACCAGAAAAAAATGATTCTTCACTGCTCAAACTTTGTCATTTATCTATGGTTTTCATTTGTGTTGATCAATATTTCCGTTGCTCAACAATATCCAAGTGAGAGATTTAGCGATAGACTATTTTGATTTCAATTTTTCATTTTTTCAACAGGACCTCATCGTCTATGTGTCAATCGTAAAAACCCATCACAGTATTATCCATGTGTTCTTAATTATATTGGTATTAATAATTGGTCGATATATCAATGTCCAGATCAATTGCTATTCAATGAAACATTACAAAAATGTTATGCGAAAGCAACTCCGCTTAGTAGACGTTTAGATCAACGCACTTTATTATCATCCTTGGATGATTCTCTATACGAACAAATTAATAATTTTCTTCGATCAAATTCCATGTTTCAAGAAGAAGAGCAAACAACTACAATAAAACCATTTTGGAATGAAGTAAGGATTTGCATTAAGTTAACGCAAGCTAACATTTATTTCGATAGAGACCTATGAATAGTGGAGGTGTTTTTTGGGCAAACGGCTATCCACTTATGAGATTAAATAATCAACCAATGTTTCAACCAAAGCCATCGATCAACTCAAGATTAAGTTATTTTTCTCAGCAACACCCTTATCCTGCACCAGTCAGTGAAGGTAAATATTACTGGTTCTTAATTACAAGCTTATAAATGCTTTTTTATCTTTAATTTATCGATCAAATCCCTATCTATATTCATTTTATAAAAGGCAGTCTAATCTAATTAGTGCTATAGCATAAAGATAATAGTTTGGATATTGGACGAACATAGACGACATTCTTGTTTTCTATCATGATTCAATAGTGATAAGAACTAATTTTATTTTTGTTATTGCAGAAGAACTGAAATACAAGAAAATCTGCTATTTTACTAATTGGTCTCAATATCGGAATGCTCCGGCTAAATTTGAACCTGAAAATATTGATCCGTTTCTTTGCACACATATTATTTATGCTTTTGCCTATGTAAGCAACAAAACGTTTTTACTAGAAACAGTAGAAGAAAATGATGAAGGTTTGTTTGTATTGTAACTATCACAAAAATTTTTTGTTGTTTTTGGTAAAAAATTAGACCTTTATCGACGTGTAAATGCACTGAAAAGACGTAATCCAAAATTAAAAACCATATTAGGCGTCGGTGGATGGAATATGAAATCATATGCATTTTCGGTAATGGTACATGATGATGCAAAACGAAGAAATTTCATATATGATTCGATTAAGTAAATCAATATTAAGCAAACAAAAAATCAATGTTGATTCGAATATGATCCTTTTTACATTGATAGTTTTCTTCATAAACATAATTTTGATGGTTTGGAAGTCGATTGGGAATATCCAGGTATACGTGGTGGACAACCAGATGATAAGTATTATCTAACGTTATTTTTTCAAGTGAGAAATATTTTTGAGAACTCATGAGAACGTGATATAAATATGAACATTTCATAGGATTTTAAAGAAGCTGCTGAAGCACAATCGATTATTACAAGTCAACCACGATTATTAATAGCGGCGGCTGTTGCTGCTAGTGAAGATATTATTTCAAATGCTTATGAAATCGATAAAATTTCAAAGTAGTACTGTTTTTGTTGTAAAAATTATTTCTTTAAATCTCTCTCTATTTAGAGTTTTAGATTTTATCAATATCATGACCTAGTAAGTGAAAAAGAAAAAAATGCAGTACCTCCAAAAAGTGATCATACTATTTCCATAGCAGTATGTGATAGAAATCATTCAAAAATAGTACTCTCAATAACAGGATTCATTGTTAATAAATTATTTAATACAATCGTATCGAGATTTAGTGGCTCGGTCGTCTTTGCATAATGTAGCAGCAGAATTTCTTTTTGGGGCTCTGAACTACTGTACTTGTGGAATAGTTTGAAAGCATAAGGTTATTCTAGTGATTTTCATGGAGCATGGCAAAATCATACAGGATTAAATGCTCCACTGTACAGACGTTATGATGAAACTGCAGAAGAGGCAATGTTCAATCAAGTAAATCGAAAACTTATCTTACTGATTTATATTCATATGTTGAATATTTTAAAGGATTTCGGTATGAGTATTTGGTTAAAGAACGGTGCACCAGCTCATAAACTCGTTCTTGGTATTCCATTATTTTCTCGAACATTTTTATTAGCACGAGCTGATGACCATGATCTTCGAGCACCTACCATTGGCAATGGCACAGAAGGTCCATATACACGTAGTGCTGGCTTTTTATCTTATTTTGAAGTAAGTCTATTGTATAGACACGTCATTTATAAACTATTTTACGGATATATCAAGGCTTGTGTATTTCAAATGGATCCTGAATGGAAGAAACGTGCAGTACCCGATGGATCAGAATCTGGATATATGTATAAAGATCGTGACTGGATTTCGTATGATACACTTGAAAATGTAAAAAAACGAGCAGCTTATGTTGTAGCTAATCATTTCGGCGGCTTATTTGTTTGGTCACGTATGTAGTTTGACTTGAATATGAAAATTTTATTTTATTTCTTTTGGTTTTGTTCTCTCTAGTTGACATGGATGATTTTAATGGAGCTTTTTGTAATAATGGTACATATCCATTCATAAAAAATTCTTTATCACTTTTACCAACGCATCTGTCTTCGTATCTTTAAAAAGTCTAATGCCTATCATCGACGTATGAACATAAACAAATGGAAAGTATTGAATTGTTCGCCTTCTTTTTTTTTTTATATAAAATTCAATGTGTTTTTTTTATTATTATCTTAATGAATCTGTAATTAATCGGATTCATGGAATGAATCTATTTTTATCACTCAATGATTGTTATAAAAGCATTGAGGATGAAAACTCTTGTATTTTCCATTAATCTATAGTAGTTTATTATTTGTATCGAATCGATCTATTAATGAAATAAATCTCAGTAACTGTTACTATATTGAAAAATAGTTTACGAGAAAAACAAATACCTACTAGAGATTATTCTATGATATACTAGAACATAAGCATGAATCGAAACCAATGGAACATTCATAAAGCCTCAAGCCCATCAATTCTTGAGAGTTTGATACTTCTATGAATCATTATCTACATCCCACACCTTCATGCATACTACTTACATAAAAAAAATAGTCGTGTGGGTGTGGATGTAGAAGAGATTGAACACCCACACCCTACTGTGGTCTCATAGTGAGATTGAAGTACATATACGGTTAAAAATGCAGTGTAGTATACTATGTTGCATTACTGCGTCAACGATTACGAGAAAATAGGGTCAATCAACGGCCGTAAAGTAGTCGTCATTACATCGTTTACTATCGAAAAGTGAACCGTAAATGTATCCCGTTTTGATCGGCCTGAGAAGCAATAGGTCTGTTGAAATGCATTGATTATTCCCATAGTTTAACTGTTGCTCTCGTATTCCTTTTGGTAAAATATGATGAAGGAGAGTTCGATCTGTTTGAGTCTCCTTTTTTTTCGAAGTAAACTTTAACACACGAAATAGAAATAACATTTTGCGAACAACGAACAGGAATACGTAATCATTTCTGACCTATTGTGTGTCATAAAGCATGTTACAGCAATTGATCGTGACTTTGTTTTCTTTGGCGTACAAGAAAACAGAGGACACTTGATGACTGGATGAACTTCATAAGTATGCGCACTTCTTTCCTTTCTTTGACATTGAAAAAGATTAAAATTCATGGTTTTTCTTCGATGTTGTATTTCCTTTGATTGATTATTTGGCTTTTTTTGTATAGCTCTCCATTGAAAATGATTGTCAGATATCTCAGCTTAAGAAATCGTAGGTGAGCATTTGAAAATATTTATATTGGTTTTAATGCGATCTAGCGCCATCTATCCACTGTGATTGGTATGAAGTCCATCAATTATTCGGTCGTATTCTATTCTCCAACAAGAGACCATTTTCCATGTTTCGTAAGTTTTCACAATAAAAAAACCTATCACAAGTACATTTTTGTTTTATAACAAATTGTATATGAGTTCGGATATTCCTGGTTTTTATTTTGATACTGTTCAACAACGTTACTATCGTCTGTCACCGCATTCATCAAATAATGTTCCTAGTGCTCGTGCTATCAATGATCGAGCACGGCAAGAACAACAGATTGCTAAACAACTTGATTTAATAAAGCCTCATTCAAAAAAATCTTCTCAACACCATAATGAAAATAAAAGATTAAATAAATCTCGTTTATCATTACTTCGTCAACGTGAATATGGTCAAACACCGATTGGTAACATAAATCATTGAACAAAAAAACAAATATAATAATTATGTTTTATTTAGAACTTTGTCACAATAACATTCGTTCGAATTTTATAGAAAATCTCTCACCAACATGCTTTCTTGATAATTCATCATCATTTTCTCTTCCAATTCATTCCCAAGGCAATTCAAATTATGAAATGACAATTACATCCACTGGTCAATCTATTCAATTAATCGATTATAAATTATATTTAAATCTATTAGACAATCCAACGTATACATATCAATTACAACCAAACACAATAGATAGTTATCGTTCCTCATATTTCATTGATTCATCTTCACCATTCATGTCGGTCACATTATTAAACGATGAAAATCATGTGATTATTCGTTTTCTTAAATTTTCCGCTATACCATCAGATCATTCATTGCTCATGTTATCAAGTAATCCATTAGCAGCAAAATATTACTACGAAGAAAAATACAAAACCCTCCACTTACCATCGCCACTAATGAATCATGCATCGCCATTAATGATAAAATGTTCTGGTCCATGTTGTTATTCAGAGTCATTGGATCGTTTTGCATTTAATATTAATAATTTTGTATATATCTATGATCTTCAAACATTTAATACCATCGTTTCATTACGTGTACCAATACGTCGTGTTACATTGAACGATATGAAATTTTCCTATGAAAATTCCAATATAATTTATACGACAAATGGACAACAATTTCAACAATGGGATATGCGACAATCAAATCGTTCATGTTCATTAAGAATGCCAATACTTTGTTCGACTATAAAATGTTTAAAATCAAAATCTAATTACATCCTAACAAGTTCATTTGATGAACAAATTAATCTCATTGATCTACGTATGGCAACCAAACCTTTACTTATTTATGATGGCTCATCATCATCATCAAATAATCCCCATTTTACATTTGAAATTGATAGTGACACAGAAAACTTTATAGTTGCTTGTTCGCAATATCATATTTTATATACGTGGGATTTGAAAACGAGTCAATTATTGAATCTTTTACGATGTCCAATACCACAACGTTTCATTCATACATCAGTAAAATGTTCGATAGCTTGTGCTGATAGAATGCCTATATTAGGAGTTTATCATCCAGAGTACTGTCGAATGACTGGAATGATGAATAGAAAATTTTTTTGTTGAATCTATTTTCATTCCATGTTTATATATTTTTAGATGGCATTATCATTGTCTAGCAATAATTTCGAAGTGAACATCCACCCAGTGGCTTTGTTCAATATTGTTCATGCTTATGAACGTCGAAGTGAAAAATTCGATACCATTCTTGGAACTTTATTAGGTACACGTACGGCTGATTCCATTGAAGTTGTCGATAGTTTTGTTGTACCGCATTCGGCACACAGTGATGTAAGTTTATTATGAAACAAATCGATCTTTTCAATCCATGATATAACGCTGAGATTGTCAAATTCATTCTATTCAGAAAAAAGAAGATACAGATAAATCATCGAAAGTTTCGAATGCTCTATCAATATACGAGTTGACCTATTAATTTGATAAGTCCCGGTTTGAAATTACTTGTCGCATTTACAGAATTTCATTGTAATTTTTAAAAAAAAACTACATTGAGTTCTTAACATTTATTATTATTCAATGAGCATCTATCGAATAAATTGACACTGTTTAACGTTTTCATGAAAAGGTTACGCTCAGATTTTCTTCTACATATTTTATATAATGGCACTTTAACATTTATTTAGGCTCTCTATAATGTTGATTATGCATCAACAATGGCAACCTTCTATCGAAAAGTGAATTCAACTCAAACAACTGTCGGATGGTATATTATTATAATTTTTATTACTCGCAATTTCTCTTTTATATTGAATAAAACAGGTATTCTACTGGTTCCGATATAATATCAGGTGCAAATTTAATTCATGAATTCTATACACATGAAACAAGAAATCCAGTTTATATACTTGTTGATACAAGTTTAAAAAATGATTCAAGTTTTCAAATAAAAGCATATATGGGGTATTTTAAATGGATTGGAAATTAGCTATATTCATTATTGTCTGATTGTTTTTTAGAGCTCCTTTTGGCATTAAAGATAAGGATAAATTAAAATCACATGGAACTATATTTACGCCAATACCTGTTCGTATTGTTACTTATGACGAAGAAAAGTCAGCAAGTAATAAAAAACATTAAATTTATTTTCTGTTATTCTTTTATCATTAAAAATATTTTTTCTCTTGTGTATAGTCGATCTATTTCAAGGTGGAAAATTTAGTAAAAATTTTCAAGTTAAACCACCTGGTGAACTTGACCAAGTTCAAGTTGCTTTAGACAAGCTTTTGTTTATGCTTAAACATCTAACAGCATATATTGATGATATTCTAGTTCGTATTTTGATCATTCAAGATAACTGAGTATTTGTTTTCTTCTTCTTCTTCTTTAAATATAGTCGGGCAAAAAACCATCAGATCCAAAAATTGGTCGTATGTTAATGAATCTAATAAATACCGTACCACGAGTTGATGCTAAAGATCTTGAAAACATGGTTAATACAAGCATGAATGTAATGATTAGCGGTTTTTGTTATTATCTCTATTGTATAATTGAAATTTTTCTTTCATAGGATCTTCTTATGATTCAATATCTTTCACAAGCAGTCAAGGCACAATTAGTACTCAATGAAAAATTAACATCAACATAAAAAAAAAAGATATAAAACACATTTTCGTTTTCTTTATTCATTAAACAAAACAAAAACAAAAATAAATAGAAAAAAGAAAAGGATGAAATCAAAAAGGATTTCATATCCATGCATAAGTTTCCATTTCGAGATATTGCCCTGTCATTTTTTGTTGTTGTTTACTGAATTGCATGTTTTCATTTCTCAAGCACATCACTTCGACAATGTCTGTGCTGATAATATAAAATTTGTGGAATCCACATATCTCTTTCGCGAATGAAATAATAAGGATAATGATAAATCGAGATTTTTTGGGCGCCTCTATCTGAACTGTATCTGCGAGAAGAAAAGCCAGCCATCAAGGGGTCATGCTTTTCTAGAAGTCGGAAAAGCAAGTCGATAGTAATAGTCCATTTAAATCATTTTGAAAGTTTCAAAATTACCAGCCTAAGTTTTCTGTTATGGATACAAACCACAAAAATATTAGTCATATTAATTTAGTAGAAACAGAAAAGGATCGATATGAAAATTATTGTTAACAGAGGAGAATATGTATCTTATAATAAAAAGAAGTCTTGTGGTACATAACAATATTAAGTCGATAATAAATTGTTAGCATAGTGACTCCATAATGTAAACATGATTGGAATGACAAAAATTCGGAGTACATATTTCGACTAATAGAATAGTTGTACTTTTGTTGAATTCATCTATTTTGTATTTTTTTAAATAAATTATTTTAGTTCTTATGGCAATATTGGCATAAATTTATAACAGTAGGAATTCGTTAGTTTCATTCATCTGGTTCTCCTGGGATGGCAACGGCAATCTTTTTTCATCCTAAGAAAAAGAGAAGCTATTTACATATTAGATTTAGTCAAATGAATGGCTGATTCGACAAAATGTAATGCATAGCAATTATTTGAGATGTCAAATGCGTTGGAAGTTCATAGACAAATTGTTTCTTCATTTTTCAGTTGATTTATAGGCTCTTCCTGCTTCTATTCTTGAAACTTTTTTTTATCAGAATCACAATCTAGAAGATGTACTTCACACGATTCTATTTGTGTAGATAAGTAAAGGCTTGATGAACATCAGATTCAATAGAATTTTGTTCTTCTATGTTCAAATTAGGACTTCAAAAAGAAAGCTTAATTGTTCACAACAATGACTCTAAAGGTTTCTTTTGTAAATTTAAAGTGAAGCTAAGTAGTCCAAAAATAGATTTGCCAAATAGACAAATGTTTAGATTGTTGTTCAAAGAAAAAAACAGAATACTAGAAATTCTCTATTTTTTAGTGTTACGAATAAATTTCATTTCCATTGAGTCTGATTCCATATGAGTCACGTTTAAAATTGATAAATATCATTTCATTGTATTAACGTACATAAATAACAAACTTTCATGATTTTATATCAAATTCATCATAATTATGTATGTTAAAGAAAAAAAAACAACTCTCTGGAATCAGACGCACACAGAAACGTTTTTGTTAAACAAATGACATTAATATAGAGCATTAGAAATGTGAACGCATTTCTCTGAAACATATTAGAAGATAAAAAGAACATGAACAAGAAGACGAAAAAAGAGAGAAGACGACAATACGTTTCGGTTGTTTTTCCCTTTGCCTACGACAAAAAACCAAGAAGAAAATTTATTTTTCGAAATGAAATGAAAAAAAAAACGAAAAGATAAAGAATGCATTGTAGAAAGTTCATATCTATGGTTTTTCTTTAATTATAGAAGAATATAAGTTAGAAAGGAATACAATATTTATGAGACGAAACCAATGAGATATTATTTCTTTCTTGTAATTTTTGATTAACTAACAGCGACAGCCACCTTGATTATCATTAACAGGCTCGTGATTTGTACCAGCAGTAAGTTTGACTTCGATTACTAAAATGGTTAGATTTTAAAAAAATGAACACTTTGGTTTATTGAATAATAAGAACTTACAATCTTCCGGTCGACGTTCAGGTGTTTCCATACCCGGTAAAGCAGCCGCTACACGTCGAAATAGCTAAAATAAAATAATGTTTATTTTAATAATTCATAATTAAGTAAACAATATAGTACTTGTTTAACATTATATCCTGCTTTGGCACTTGTCTCAATAAACATAACATTTAATTCTTTTGCTTTTCTTTCACCATCTTCCGTTGATACTTGTCTTTTATCAGCTAAGTCAGTTTTGTTACCGACTAAAAAGCAAAGATCAATTACAACAAAACTATTGAAATATCTTACCGAGCATGATTATAACATCACTGCCACGTTCTGTTCGAACATCATCAATCCATTTCGACGTCTGTTGAAATGAATTCGAATCTAAGAATATACAAAAGTAAACACTTTCTAATAGCCCCATATGTCATAATTATCTATCCTTACTTGTTATATCATAAACAACAACAGCAACAGTAGAATCACGTATATAACTTGGAATAAGACTCCTGTTAAAAAATTAAGAAATATTTTTTTACACAACAAAATAAGAAAATTTTCTTACCTAAATCTTTCTTGTCCGGCGGTGTCCCTAATTAGATTGAGAAACAAAAAAGAAATAAAGTATAATTCAAATACAAATGTTTACCATAATTGTAATCGAACAGTTCGATCTTCTAAGTACATAGTTTTGGAAAGAAAATCAATACCAATAGTCGCCTAAATGAATTTTCAATAAGAAAAATTAATGAGATTTAAAGACAGTATGTCTACAGACTTGATATGTATTATCAAAACTGTCATACATAAAACGAGTGATTAATGATGTCTTTCCGACTAAACATGAAATAGAATATTAGCATCAGATGTTAACCATCACATTTTCTTACCGCTCTGTTCGCCAAGGAATACAAGTTTAAATTTTCGAAGTGGATTTCCGCTTTGTTCTGATGACATTCTTTATATTATTATAATTAGTATATTTAACAAAAAAAAACTAACAAATCTGAAAAGAAAAGTAATCAAATTATTCATATTATGATTGTTTTCTTCATGCTTCAATCATAAAAACAATTTTTCAGCATCCTACAGATAGAAAAATTCTCGATAAAAGCCTCATGAATTCGTGATAATTGATCATCGATATCAGGCTTTAAGTATTTTCGCTTCAATGGCAAGTTTTGTAATAACTATTGCCTAGAAAAGATATATGAAAGACTAAATTTCTATTGATTACTTTATTTACCTGGAGTGAAAAAGCGCTTGAATAACTCAATTGAAATTCTTCTTAATCTCCGAAGGAACGAATTACTATGAAAAAGCTTTTCATAATCTTAGTTTTATAATTTCCATATCTATTGTTCCATGTATATATATTTCTTATGGCAATATTCCGTACTGTACAGATTGATTTAAAACAAGGATAATTGCGTTGTCATATACTGCAATTCATATCAACCATTCAAATGATGTTAAAACAACTCCATTTTATGCAGATCTAATAGTTCATTGAATTATTCGGCACTTTCCTGTAGTTTATCTTGTCTTGGCGACGTGGAAGTGATGAGTTTTACGTTGTTACTAATCTGAATCATTGTTAAATAAGATAAAATGTTCTTGACAAATGGAGAATATGATTCAACGGAAAACTCAAGTTTGAAAAACTTTGCTTTCACACACGACCAAACAAATAAACAAAACGTGTCGACTGTAACACTAGTAGGTTGACAAGGATCAAATCGAATTCTGTCAATTAGACTTCATTGAATTTGTTTTCAATTGGCTGTTTTCTCAATAGATAGATGTCGTCGATTAACAGACTACAACTGTTTAATAATTATATGTGCCTTTTCCGCATAGCTCGATTAGCAATATTGACAACTTTTTATTTATAAAAGAAAAGTTATTAATTGAAGAACGAGTATAGTTTATTATCAATCGCGATAAATTTTACTCGGTATGCGATCACCTTCGACGGCAACCTTGACATAACATAAAAATACATAACAGAAATGATACGTACAACGAAACAGAACATTTCATGGCGGCGTCCCTATACAAAAATTGAGTAATATGATGTTGACATTCTCGTGGGAAATCTTCAGTTTAAATTGGAAAAAAATATCGATTCTATGTATGATTGATTATTTCGAGTCACATTTCATTGGTCTGTCAGCATATCTGTCCAAAAAAATGTATTGCTAACTCTTGCGGTGATAAAAATAATGAACTTTGAAATTGACATCTGTTCATATATAATTTATCAGTCAGCTTTCTTTAGTACTGCGATAGTATTATTATGACCTATTTTGAACTATGATTCTTATATATGGATATACAATTTCTATATTTCTTTGAACTTCACTGCTTCACTCTTGCTAAATGCAAAGTACAAAAAGAAAAGTCAAATTACAGTACTCGTAAATTATCAATAAATACAATTGTTCTATTTTTGTTGTGATACGTCCTAGAGTTAACTGATTTGTGATGACGGATGCGTTGCATGATGGGCACTACAACTTCGACGATGTATTTCTTTGATATTAAACTCTGGAAAACGAAATTTGTTTGTAATTTGTTCGTCGTTTCGATTCAGATCTGGTATAATGATATTTTTTCGAATAGACAATGGTGATGTAATAAGACATATGTCGTTGTTACTTCTATTTAATCGAAATTCAATACCACAAGTTGCATTAGTTGTTGGTAATATTATTGGTTTATCTTGTTCATCATTAGTATTCTTTTCGTCGGTTGGTTGTGTTAGACAAGGTGTGATTATTGTTTCTGTACGACGCGTTAAACTAGGTGATAAAATGGATTCGAAACGCGGAGTTCCTTCAGCTTTTACTAATGATGAATCACGTCGGAGCGACGTGAAATTATTTGTAGTTGAAAAACTAGTATTGAATTTTAAAGGAGTCGGTGTTGTAAGCGGCTGCCGATTTATTTCGTCTGTTGGCTATTGAATTAAAATTATAAGTGTCTTTTTCTTGTTTCTTGATAGAAAGTTTATCAAACCTCATTATTATTTGTACCGTTTGATGGTTGATAAGAACGAAATTGTCGTTCAAGGTGATGTAATGTTAATGATGGATTTCGTACTGTGTCGCGAAAGCGCGAGAGTCGCGAAGTGCCGAATAAATTTTCTTCCGTTTTAGGTTGACGATTATGAACATACAGAGCTTTTTCAGCTGCTGCTCGATGAAATTCTAAGCTATTACAATCGCCTCGTTGTTTTTTTCTATAACAATCTAGTTTCAACACGAAGAAACATATTATTGTGGGATTTTTCTTTCTCGCTTAAACTTACTTCCACAATAGATATCATCGCCTTCTTCATTCAGTGAATATCCTGTCAAATTTCGTTTACAAATACGACAACGAAAACATCGATTATGATAGACCTAAAAGAGATTTTTAGAAAATAATCTTTTTTTGTTTTGAATAGAAATTAAAACATCGATTTACATGCTTCGTTGTTATTTTCTTTTCCACTGCATAGACAAGTGATCCACACGAAAAACATCTTGTATTTTGAATGATTGAATGCTCGAATAATGTTGCCATTGTGGTTTCTAAATGCATAACATAAACTATTCTAATATATGTATAGGCAACGAGAAAGAAAAGTAAAAAAAAAGTATCAAATAGAGTTTAATAATAAAATATGTTAATCTGTTATTATTCATTGAGCACAAAAAAAAATAGACACTAATAGGAGTTTGTATCATACGTAAAAGAAAATAAGATGAATAACGAAGAGAAAAGAAAACTTGATACTTCATTTCATGATACAGATTGAATGAAATAAGACATGAATAAAGAGAAAGAATAAATAGAGATCAAATTTAACATCCATTAACCTCTGATAGATCTATCAAATCTTAATATTTTGTTTCTCTTTTGAATACTGTAATACTTAGCTGTTAGATCATAAACCGTTCATTATTGATAAATTAGGTCTACGGTTCGATGGGCACTGTCGTTTTTTTTTGGTACTCCTCACACATGTAGCTAATGAGTAAAATGAATGCAATAATAGAGTATATTCATACCAGTATATGGGATTTTTCTTTCCGTCTTCTACCTATAACGTACGATTTTCGATAATAATCATAATATATTTTTTTTCTATGAAAATTCAGAGCAGAAACTATAATTGTGTGTTTACAAAAGATAATGCATATAGGACCAATGATTAGCTATGTATGCGAATGTATAATATGTATCGTTTGACTATCTAACTGATTCGTATCGTACACATTTATCGAATGTGGCAGAGTAGACATACGTGTTTAATGATGAATAGTATGATATACAAGCAAAAATAATCGTTGTAGTGTGTACAACGACAACGCATGATATTCATATAATTAATATCATTGAATGAAAACGTCCTCTGACTGAATCATCAAAACTGTGTAACCACGATAATGATAACCTTCAAATAGAAAAAAAAATGATTGAAGCTTGTTGCTTTCTTTTTTGAACTATTAATATGTTTAGTCATTGAATTATGAAAAAATAAATAATAATTTGTAAATGATTTTCAATTTGAATTTGAATATTGAGAAAAAATACTGCCAAGCATGACCTTGAATTATGTTAAGATTATATCGTCTGTGAATGTGAATAGATTCTTGAGAGAGAGAGAGAGAGAGAGGGGGGGGGGGAATAGAGTTGATGAATTNCCCCCCCCCCCCCCCCCCCCCCCCCCCCCCCCCCCCCCCCCCCCCCCCCCCCCCCCCCCCCCCCCCCCCCCCCCCCCCCCCCCCCCTAGACTTGATGAAATTGAATTTATTCGAAAGTTCTCGAAATTTTGATGCCTTGTTCGTTTCGGTCTTTTTTCTCGACTCAAAATCCTCTTTTTTTCTGACTTTGCCCTTGAAATCTACCATATTTTGTTTTTCACTTGGATAAGAGATGAATCCTTGCGACAACACCGAGCCTCCAAAAAAAGAACAGTGATAAGAGAAAAAAGTTGTCATCACTATGAGTGAGCAATACATGGCAAAAAAAAAGACTTGGCTCTTATCTCTTGTGTATATATATATTATATATATTACAGCTATCTCCCTTTAAACTTTGTTGTCAATAAGATATCTAGCTAAGACATCATACCATGTTTCTTCGTCTTTGTCTTGTCGTTTGTTTGGCTTTGGCCGCTGTAAACGGTCGTTTTGTTAAACCAAAACCTTTCCTTACAGAGGAATTGATCAATGAAGTTAACGCTGCTCAAACAACATGGAAAGCAGCACCATCAAAATTTATGACATGGTCAAAAGAATCGATTACACGATTAATGGGTGTTCGTCCAGAATATTTTGAACAACACAAATTAATCACACTCATTCAACATGAAGTACCAAAGGATTTACCAGACAACTTTGATGCTCGTGATCAATGGCCAAACTGTCAATCCATTAAAGAAGTTCGTGACCAAGGAAGGTTAGTATTTTTATTCGATTAAAATATTAAATATAAAACATTAATGTTTTTAAAATTGTTATTTAGCTGCGGAAGCTGTTGGGCTTTTGGTGCCGTCGAAGCTATGACTGATCGTATCTGTATTGCTTCAAGTGGAGCCAAGAACTTTCATATTTCAGCTGAAGATCTTGTTTGTATGTATTATATTAAATTTGTTGTCTTTTCAAATTTTCTAACTTTTTTCTCGGTTTCGTTTTCTTTAGCATGTTGTGATGAATGTGGATTTGGATGTGATGGTGGTTTCCCACAATCTGCCTGGTCATACTTCAAAACAGACGGTTTAGTTACCGGTGGTAACTACAACACAAAACAAGGTTGTGAACCATACTCAATCCCAGCATGTGATCACCAGTATGTTACTTATATGACAATAGTTTTTGCTCATCTAATTGTTTGGTTTTTTTCTCTCTCTATTTTTTTAGTGTCAATGGAACCTTACCACCAGTAAGTTCAAACGAAGTATTTGTTCATAAGTTTCTCTATTTTCATGCAATATAGTGTCAAGGTGAACAACCAACGCCAGACTGCAAAACAAAATGTATCGATGGCTATCCAACCCCATATGCCAAAGATAAGCATTTTGGCTCCAGTGTTTACGCAGTTCGTTCGGATCAAACACAAATCAAAACCGAAATCTTCACAAATGGACCAGTAGAAGCTGCCTTCACTGTCTATGCCGATTTCCTTACATACAAAACAGGTGTTTACAAACACACAACTGGCTCAGTTCTCGGTGGACACGGTTTGTATTTAATTTAATAGTGTAATACATGAGTAAAGCTAATTTTTATTTTCGCCTACTTACAGCTGTCAAAATTCTTGGTTGGGGCTTAGATGGCACAACACCATACTGGCTTGTTGCTAACTGTAAGTAAATTAATCATTAGATTTCGTTTGTATTTTTCAGTATTTAAAATAATTCCCATGAAATTTGTTTCGTTTAGCATGGAACGAAGATTGGGGTGATAAAGGATACTTCAAAATCCTCCGTGGTAAAAATGAATGTGGCATCGAAGATGGCATCGTTGCTGGTGCTCCCAAGCTCTAATAGAAAACTAAATATTCAATATTCGTTTTTCTTTTTCTTTTTCTTTTCGTTCCATTTTCATTTTTCTTTCTTGTATGCTAAACTAGTGAGACAATTTACTCCACTAAAAAAAGAATCGACTGGCAACATCTTAATGCAAAGTAAAACAATATACATCTATTGTTATTATTATTGTTGAAATGAGTTTCCATCTTTGAAGAGAATGACTATTGTAAAACGATTTTTTGTACAAAAAGTTTATTAAGAAATAAAACAGAAAAAAAACTTAACACTATAAATTTCTGTGTGATCTTTGCCTACAAGGCTCACACTATATTTAAGAACCAATTTCACATTTATGTTTTTATAATAATTCAATATCGAACACTCATCACCATCTCCAATCAACCGGTTAGTTTGAGGACGCGTTTTTTAAACTAGTAATTCTTGATAAGCACTCGATAGAATATTCGGCGCATGTGCGATTCTACTGCAACCATTGTTAATACTACTACTAATGCTTTGATACTCAATGCCTCGATTAAATCAAATATCTTTGCCGCTATGACTAAAAGTCAGTGCCCAAACAAAAATCAATCGTTGGTAAAATGTGCACCTCTTGAATAAATAATCATTTTAGCGAGTCATCAAGCCTATATATGAATAGACCGATGTTTTTTTTCTTCGACCCATTTCAGCATTGAAAGATATTAGCGCATGAAGCACCATCATAAATATTGCTCTACAAAAAAAAGTACATCTGCTTACTGATTGAAATTAGAAATAGAAATCAATGGCGTTTATTTTCTCACGAAATATTAGTCAATTGTTATCAGTTTTATTTTCTATTCGCCGATTATATTGAAAAAAAAACGGTTAAAAATAACCAAGACATCATGACAACAAAGTAAAATATGGAGCAATGTGCGAAATTTCTCTTCGTTGTCATTCTTTCATATCATTGTGATATGAACAATAACTACACATTTAAAAAGAACTACAAAATTCGCTTATTGGTTAATAAAAATAATGTTTATTCATCATTTGTAAATGCAATCTCAAAAGTAAATTTCAGTTCGATCCTGAATCTTTATTACTAGAATAAAATTTTCAATTAGTTCCTGCTGACGGATGATTTTTTTTTCTTCAAAACTAGCTACGCTTGCTATGAATAAAAAACAAATGATGTACAAGTTTAAAATTTTTTCTCTTTCAAATTTTTTAATCACGTATTTTATGCCTTTGATCAATGTTACTCCGTAGTTGGATGAAATTCAATCTAGTCTAACTAAATTTATCCTCCCTATTTAAGTCTACTGAATCGTGGCTGGATTATATACCTTACGTCCAATACGCATTTATTAACTTTGTAATATTATATTTTCATACTCAATAGCCTTTGAAAGCATGTCCTTGATGTGTCTGTCTACATTGTGTCTTTTCATTAATAATCATGTTCACATCAATTTGTCTACAGTCGGCATGTGCTTGTTTTTGATTACTCAGCTTTCGAAAAATTTCCTATTGTTCTTTAGAATTGTTTTCAAGACTCTTGTACACATACTTCATGCTAGCCGATGGACGTCTGCGAAAAGTAACAACAAAAGCAACTTAAGATTTAAATATTCAAACATCATACGAAAACTTCTTATTGTATTTTTGTGCAAAAAGCAAAATTTATAAGACACGCAACGGAAGAGTTCAATATATATCAATATCAAATATGTTTCATACAAACTGAGGACAAGAAACAAACAAAAGAAGTTCAAGAATAAGATTACAAGTTTAAAGAAACAAAAGAAAAATATAGAAAAATAGAATTATGGCTATAAATTAAGTTGACGATAATGGTATCGGTTCAATAATAGTTGATGATACCTGATTTTTATCATTCGATATGTTCACAGATAATGGTGTTAAATATTTCCAATGGTTATACGGAGATTCAATCGATGAACTAACACCACTGGACGAAGACGATGAACCTGTACTAGGTGGGGCTGAGTGTTGAAAGTTATCATTTACTTGTTGCTTTTCTTGATGAGCAGATTCCAATAACGGTCGAGTCGAATCACTCGATGAATGTGTACAATAATGTCCACCGCCGACTGATGATGACGAAAATTTTTTATCACATGCATCGTGTTGTTGAACTACAAAAACAAAAAAAAAAGCAGAATGATTTCATTTATACAATAGAATTTAATAAATTACAAACCTTTGTGAACTAATGGTGTAATCATTTCTTGTCCTTTATATTGTCGTTGACACGTACCATGATGATAATGTAAATGAGAGAAAGGTTCTCCATGTATTTGGCAAGGATCATGATTATCAGTCTTTTTACTACTATTCGAAGGTACTTTTAAAGGAAGTGTGTCCGATGAGTAATTAATTAAACGATGATGCATTACACATGATGACATAGCTGGATGTTCAACTAGAAGTATATAGAAAATAAGAATTTCAAATTTTTCGTTAGCTTTTCTTTGTTGTACCTGTTTTATTGTAGGAACAAGCTGTAGATCGATATTCTTCATATGGGCCATAAGAATTAAAAGGTGTTAATGTATGATAAAAATTTTCTTGCGTATTATCATTATCTAAGCGATTGATTGGATTTATATTTAAACGTATTGTACCATTTTCATCTATTATTGCATTATGTGATGAAGCATGATGATAGATTTTTGGTGATTTTGCATTAGTTGGATAGGCAACAGGTATTAGTTTACCATCAACAGAAACGACACCATGTTGAAAACAAGGCGTAGTTGCATATTCAGGATTTAAATTTTTATGTAAACCTTCACAATAATATTCGGAAGCATTACCAGATTTGACATGTGCTAAACAAATAGAGAAATAGTTGTTTTTTATGAAAAATAAATTCAATCAAAAAATACCGATTAATTTTTTCTGTTGTAGTAATCTTAATACACACATTGCAATGAGTATCATAATTAATATTAATAGAACTCCAGCAATGATACCAATAATTAAATAAAGAATATCAGAACTTTTTTGTGGCATCGATGATTGTGTTATTAAATTATGTTTCACAGGAGGTGGATATTGAATTTTCGTAATATTTTCGAGAATTTCATCAAGATTCAATGGTGTTTTTAATTGATTTGTACGAGAACGTTGTTCAGTTGAAACTAAAAGTTGAAAAGAAAAATTCTATACTAAAAGAAAATTCGAATAATACTTACATTTAGGAATCGAGATTTCAATAGAATTGCTCATAGGACTCACGCCAAGATTAGAATAAGTTGTCATACGTAATTCATAGATTTGATCTGGTTCAACTGATGTGATCGTATATGTATCGATCGGAGGATAACGTAGATTTGGTACTGTTATTGTTGTAAAATTCACTTTTGAATTTATTGCTCGATAATAAATTACAAAACCATCGATAGTTTCACTATCGGTATTATTTAATAACTAATGAAAAAAAAAATCAGTTTTTCAATTGGAAAAAATTGTTTTTGACGTGTCACTAACCTGCCATTTTAAATTTATTTGTTGATCATTAGTTATCCATGCTTCGTTTATTTGTGGTATAGGTGGATTTGGTTGATTTTTCATTAATTTTAATATAACTTGTTTAGCTGCACTAATAACTAATTGTTTACCAGTAGCATCGTAGCCAATTAGACGAAATTTATATGTTTGATCTTGCTGGAGATTATCAATAATAGCATGTTCCATGGAACGATTATAGGAATCATCTATGGTCGTCCAAGATGTTTTCGGATGAATCAAACGATGTTGTATTTGTATAGAACTGAGATAATTTTCAATGGTTTCATTTATTTTCCAGAATAATTTTATCGAATAATTATCAATTTGATTGATATCAATTATTTCCAATTTTGATACTAATTAGAAAGAGAAAGACGGTTTTCTTCAATGAAATTGAAAAAATATAGACAATAAACAAACCAGGTATATTGAATCGTAGACCTCTAACTTGAACAAAGCATTTTGCTGTATCAATACCAAAATCAGCTTTTGATGCAATGCATTTATAGATACCACTGTCTGTTTTCTGTGCTGATACAATCCGTAAGCCACCAGAGGAAAGCATTTCATAACGGCGCATCACATTTATATTAATTATCTCATTATTATGCAACCATTGAACAGTTGAACCAGGTTGTGTCAAACAATGAAGTTGAACTGTTTCGCCCTCGTAGGCAGTTATATTATTTGGACCAAAGATAATTAAAGATTTTTTTAATGGAATTTCAATTTCGAATTTTTCTAAAAAATCATATTGAATTATTAAGAGGTGTATTTCAAAAATGGTTTTCATTATTACCTTTAGATTTAATATGATTTGGAAAAACAACAGCAGCATTTGCTTGAGCAATGCCATATGGATTTCGACCAATACACTGATAGATACCTTCTTTAGCTTGAGTTAATGATAGAACTCCATCTAAATGGCATGAGATAGATAATCTTCTATTTTCATGTTTCAAAATACCTGTAATTGGTGATCCATGCATAGTGAATTCTTCTCCGTTATATAACCAATTGATTGTAGGTTCAGGTCGACCACGAAAACTACATTTGATTGATAGAGTTTCATCTTTCGTAATTTGAATCAATGAATCGGGTCGTTGAATCATTTTTGGCGGTTCTATAAATGTAAAAAATATTAGTCACAATAAGGAAAAACACATTTAAATCACTCTTCAACAACAAGAGTCTTCCCCAGATGCATGTCTCATTATATAATATAAACTATTTTCTAATTACATTTCTTTAAGCTCAACGAAAGAATTCCGTAACGATAGGTACTACCAAATACATATGTACAATACAAGAATTTCCTTTTATTTAACAAGAAAAATATCCTTGACATTTGAATTACAAATGTTTTTCTTTTCTTTTATTCATCTTACCTAAAACTTCTAAGAGAGCAGTATAGGCAATGTCCGATTGTCCATTTGAACTCGATGCTCGACATATATATGTTCCACGATCATCCAAACGTATATCGAATAGATATAGTGTACCATGTAAAACTTGACTTCGTTTTTCAGGTAGAACATCGCCATATTTCTCCCATTCAATAATTGGTTTTGGCCAGCCAGCAATCGCACATTCAATAGAAAAATTATTTCCAACAAGGATTCTATTTAAATTCAGAAATTAATATCGTTCAGAAAAAAAAGAAAAGAAAAAATTACCTTGAAGCAACTGGTGGTTTATATACAGTTGAAAGTGCTTGACGCTCTCGACTGTTCGATGGTCTATTTAGTACTTGTAAAATTGTTATTTGACTATTGTTCACAATTTGTTCAGTTAAAAGATTTTTTGCTGAGCATTGATATTTTCCTGAGTCGAATTTTTTCACATCAATTATATGTAAATTTCCACTTGGCAAAATTTTATATCGATCTAAGATAAGAAAAGAAAAAAACGGATGATTGAAAATTGTTTTTTTTTTGATAAAATTATATTATGATATAAATATATACTTGAATTTGTTTCAATTTCTATACGATTATTATCTAAACTAAAAATTGGTATTGGTCTTGGATTTCCATTCGGCAATTCGCATGGTATAATAGCAGTATTGCCTTCGATTATATCCAAAATATTATTTTCATTGGTTGATATTTTAAATGGATCCAAAGCTAAAAGAAACAAGAAAATCGATATTTTAATTAATTCATACCATAGGCAAACATCACTTTCTCCGATGAACAGATGGATTATTCATGCACATATTCTCCGCATGCCATCATTCAAGAGAATTCAATTGATTCTTTTTGTCTTTTAAAAAACATCTCTATGTTCTCAATTAACTAGTTCATCGTTGACTAAGTATTCTTGATGGCAAACGCTTGTCCGTCTCACGCCATGATTAGCTATTGAACAAATAATAATAACAACGCGTCGCGCATCTTTCCGTTGGTCTCCCGCAGTGAATGACGCCCCCACAATGTTTGCGAGGGCACAAGCATCGGTCATTCTCTTTTGTGTAGACCTTAATTTCCGAAAAATATTCGCTTTTAGTGTTAAGTGAATTAGACAGAAAATAATATCCGGATTATGTGTGCATGGCCAATAGCTGCTTAAACAATATTTAGATATTACTCATTTATATTGTAAACGACATTTATCATCTTTATGTCGTAATAATCCTAATATATGCTTTATGATCATATGCCGACGTGTGTATCATTCGTCCATTTATGTTAAAACATAAATCTTGTTTTTTTTTTGTTGTACATAATTACAGAGAATGATCATCTATCTCTCCTCCTTTTTTTAATTACAAGGCTATGCATACACCAAAATTAATGATCATTCAACCTCACCGACTGGTCGCTTATCTTTTCTTCACGTTGTTCCATTATTTTGATCGAAATAGCCTGTAGCTGCTGATGACCTTTTTTCTTCTTTTTCTTCTTCTATGATTCCATCAAGACAAAACAATGCTGACAGACTTTCTTACTCGTGGGAAATCGTTTCTGGTCATAGAAGGTGACATTCTGTTAGACTGTTGATACATTCTATTATGACCGCCAACTATAATCTATCTGCTAAACATTTATTATTCATAGGCATGATGAGCTATTGTCTATGTAATAAAAATCAACAATGAACTATCATTACGTAAGTGATTAAGCCAGCTATGTTCTAATTGCATGCGAGAAGAAAGACATGTGTCTATATTCTCAACATTCTACTGTTTACACATCCGTATATCACATAGAGATTTCTCAGTCATTCACTCTCACTTGAAAGAAATAAGAGTCTATTTAAACATATGCTCATGTGCTTCATTATATCGGCAAATTCGAAGTATCTCAAGGCAATAAAACAAAAAATAATTCTCGAATCAGATCTTTGACGAAACGATTTTACGCATCATAGCATCAAAATACATATACACATTCAGAGATTAATAATCCATAAGTCTCCCTTTTTTTAATATTTTATTTCATCGTGTGCAGACAATCAGGCAACAATACACAAAGACGAACGCAGTGGAATCAAATTAACTAGAGTAACCACTACTGCTATCGCTTTGACCGCAGGGACGATAGACTATTTTAATGAATCATGAAAGGTGCTAGTGTGCTGTTATCGTGAGCCATTATTTTATACCAAGACCAAATCAAATAATAATCAAAGAAGAAAAAAAAGTCTCACACCTATCTTAATGAGCCATTTAAAATTATATCAAAAAACGATAAGACGAAATCAATTGGGTACTATTTATAACTATTCCTAGACGATAAGAATGACTTACTTGGTAAACTTAGCATAGCTGGTTCGCTTTCAATGAAACCGTAACGTGTTGAAACAACACAAGAATAAGCACCCGGTTGTGTATAAGCAGTATCACCAAATTGATATATGCGTAATTCATTTCCGTGCATTTCAATAATCGATGGATTGAATTCAATACGTTGCCCAACATGAGTCCAATAAGTAACGGATACAAATGGTGTGTCACTGCTTTCACATTTTAAACGTACTTCTGACGATGAAAGTAATACAATAGATTGTGGAAGAACACGAACTTGAGGCAAACAATCTAAACATTGTTTTTTGTTTTGCATAAATATTTTAAAAAGAAAAAATCATTTTCTTTTTACTTACAAATAGTACTTAGATAAATTGTTAATATGAAGAAATAGATCAGTTTCATTGTGCATATTATATTATAAATAAGTCAAGAAAAAACAAAGACATCTAGAATGATGCAAGATACTATTTATATAGAGTAACAAAACATTCATTAAGGCATATAGACGCATCATATGCTCACAGAAAAAAAATGAGTAATAATAAGACGAGCATGAAGATTACGAACCTAATACATAGTAAGTTTAATGAGATCAGGTTAGACGAATGCCGACCGCCTACCGTCAGCTGTTCGTTCATTCATTCATTCATACTGTCTTTATATGTGTGTATGGGAGCATAAGAAAAAAAGACACAGACAGTTTGTAAAAGGAGATGAGGGGTGTTATTGTTGATAGTCGGTATTATAATTATAAGAGCACTAGACGATGATAAAAACATCCATATGAAAGGTGTCTATTCCCGACATTGAACAAGACCATTGAAGAAGTCATCATCATCATCATCATTTTTCTTTTTCTAATGTTCACTTCATAGATAATTCATACAGTAACAATTTGTTTTTAAGGACATAGAAAAAGAGATGAACAAAACAAGATAGAAATAAAACGAGGTCGTTTTCTTGAAGTTTCTACTTACCGACAATCATCACTTTTCGTGCAATGATTTATTTGGTTCTATATATACTAAGATATCTATCAATCTTCAATAGAACATGCAATTGAACAGTTGATATTTTGAACAAAAAAAAAGGAAAAAACTCAGATGTGCGATAAAGTCAATCAGAATATGGTTAGCGGCTTAGATGAAAATAGAATACTTCAAACGCTTTCCACCCTATTAATCAGACATTAAAATCTGTTAGAATCATTTAAATTTAAAAAAAAAATGAAAAAAAAACTGAAAGTTGTAGCTTTCTTTTTTTGTGTTTGTTTGTAAAAGTAGAAAAAACTTAAACGATGTGCTATACTCAATTTAATAAACTTTTTCTAACTGCAAGCACACGCGCATCCGCTCGTTAAAGATAATGGTTAGTGACCTTCATATTATCAATAATACAATCGAATGTCTTACGATCATTCTTGTCTTATATATAGACATGATGGGAAAATCTAATCAACACAATATCAATAAGTAGTTCTACTTACTCTCTCTTTTCGTAGATGAAGTTATTTTTTATCTTTAGAAAAAAACAGCACATGCTTTTTTTCTCTTCCAATATAGTAATGAATAAATTGTACGATTACTAGACTATATCCTAATCAACAATATTCGTTGTTATTGACTACCGCCTTCAATAATCGACGACGAGAAAGTAGATATTAGATGATCGAATAAAAAAAAAATACGTGAATGAACACGTCAATGGTTTTATTGAAATCGACAAGTAAGCCCGTAGTACGAATAATAGAAGAAAGCAGATGACGATGATGAACAAGTCCTTCGTTGTTGTCGTCTTCTTCTTCTTCTTCTTCTTCTCTTCTGAATATGTGCGTGTATTCGTATGTATGCGTGTGTGTGCGTTGACCTGTTTTGACGTACTGAAAGAGAGAGCAAGAGAGAGAGAGAGAGAGTAGAGAAAAAAATCGTTCATTTACCCGTTCTCTCGATCACTGTCGCTTCCGTACAAATACAAGAGAAAAGAACTGAGGAACAGCACAAGCAAAAAGAGAAAAAGCAAAAGAAAGAAGCATTATGCTGCTTTTCTCTATACTGCCAAATGATCGATCAATCGATCGACAGTAGCTTATCTCATTGTCGTTTCTTTTCTCTTTTCGTCGATCTAACGGAATCAGTCACAATCAATTTCTAAGTAGTTCCTTGAAAACGATTAGACCCTCTACAGGTACCAACCACTTTCTTTTGTTGGTTTCAAGGCTTAAATATATACTTACATTTTTGTTTACACATACGCAATTAGTGTGAAAAACGATTTGTTCCCTAAAAAATGTATAACATGTTTTATGAAAAGTGACAGATATTATTGCATAATCGAACTAACGGCTATAGCCTTATTTGTAACTGAGGAATAATTCTACATGTCAAGCGATTAGAAATTGCATTTAGTTGTTAATGAATGATGTAAGTTGTCAATTGAAAAGAAGCGATAAGCAAAATATGGAAATGTCTGGCGTTTCACATACAGACACATACGGATAATCGCATGAATGCTATTTATATCTATGACGTAAGCGAACACGAGAAGGATATAGCAAGCAGCTATAGAGAGGATTGTTTAATCCGTTAAAAGAGATAGACTTGTCAAACAAACAAACAATTTATTTGTTCATAGGATAGAAAAAATGTATAATGTTTTCTTTTTGTTTTCATTAAAAGACAACAATAGACGTCTCCTCCACCCCCCGATGGGTCATATTTTGTCCACATCGACAACAGCGAAGTAAATCACAATGGCTCTCAAGTCCCATTAACCCTGTCCATATGATGACGGGGAAAAGTTCAGCTGTCATATTAGAATGATCAATGGAAATCTGTCGCACCCGTTCATTCCTCTGTATTCGTACACTTGATATCGATTTACACATGGAGCATTGAACAGAAAAGAAAGAAATTAGTGTACTTCAAGGTTATTTCAAGTGGACGCATACGTTCATTCCTTGCTGGCCAGATTGTGTTGTCACTCTTAAAATAACAGACATTTTATTTTTTCTTAAGTAGCGACACACATAGGAAAAAATTGACCAACATTCGTTCTTTTAAACATCAAACACTAGTCAAAGAAGTCTTACAGGTATTTTTACATCTAATCAATACAATACAATTCATCAATAAAGATCATATTTTTAAATAGGTAACCAAAATATATGTTACCTTGGCCGTTCATTGTCTCGTTTCATTAGTCAATCCTTGAAGTTATTTACTTTGTGAACGCGACATGGCCCGACTAAAATAACGGCACATAACAATAACAATAAAAAAAAGAAAGAACGTGAATTTACTCCTATATTCCAGCCTAAGAGAAAATCATCATTGGGAAAATGGAATGAAACGATGAACTTTTCTAAACACAAAAGATCATTAAAAAATTCACACAGTGAAGAGAAAAGAGAGAGAGAGTTTATGTGCTTCTTAAACATCCTTAATAACGAATGGAATATCAATCTTAATGATATCCTCTCTTTTATATCTCAATGAAAGAGACAAGTCATCATACACACAGCTCGTCAAGGACTTCGTACTCTATTTAAGTGATGATGAAACATAGGAGAAAAAAAGAAAGTCGTTGTCCAAGATGGCATACTTCCATACTTGACTCTTGTCATTCTTGTTCTATCCTGAATGGCCAACACACTACCTTTCTTTGGTCAGTTCCGAGCAAAGAAAAAGATAATAGAAAGAACGATGCCTCTAGGCTTTCTATCAGAATTATGTCATCGGTAATTATTTAGACAAATATAATCGTCATATTCAAAAACTTTTCTGAAAAAAAAATTCATAATGCTGCTGATATAGAAGAATCAGAAAATAAGCATATCTTTCTAAAAGAAAAATACGATAAGTAGGTATTAAATAAAACTTTGTTGATAAATCCTTCATCCATTATATAAAGTAAATCTTTCTCAAGATTTCAAGTATATGCCGAGAATTTAAAGTTAACAAACTCGAAATAGAAAGAGAAACAAAATGGCATTAGAGTTTGTAATATAGAGATGATGCAACTCTCTTCATTACATAGAGAACAGTAAATCATTGTTAGCTACTATTTTTTCTTCTTCTTCTTCTTCTCGTATGTTGAAGAACTTCTGTTCCTTATTTATAATTTTCTTTCAACCTGTACTAATGGCTTCTCGTGTACATTCATATCGGTGATTTCATAATCAAAGAAAACGTCTCGCTTGGCCGATGGTTTCAAGATTCTAACACGCACATCTAAATGTAATGAAATAACTTATCATTCTTCATAAGCGAGAGAGAGACGAATAATTGACCGATGACATTGTATTGATCGAAGAAATAATTTGCATCCTATTCAAACTGAACTCTTAGTCGAGGACAAAATGTCAAGTGATCGTTATAATCGATGCATTGAGTTCTCTTGGGATTGATAATCAAAAAAAAAAAGAGTACAAATAAAGGAATGTGTATACTACTGTTCAATTACACAATATCTAAATATCATGATAATAGAAAACAATTTGTTGAACAGGTGAATGATAAATGATGACAATTTATGTAAGTCTCATAGATAAAAGATTCATTTTATGATATGTCAAATATCAAATTACGTCTTAAACAATTTATTCAATGATTGATAGACAGAATATTTATTTATGAAAATCGATCGGACACTGTCTGACAGATTTTCTTTTTCTTTTTGTTCTCTCGATGTGTTCAAAATACGGTTCATTTTGCAATTATTGCATGTTAATAGGAGGAGTTAAGATAGTTTTTACTTTAATTAACGAATTCAACCATCACATCATTGCATGTTACCGATAAATGCCTGATAAAAATAAGCAAACGGAAATGAACAAGATCTTCTTCTGCTTGTTACCTTTACGATACAAAATATAGCATCGACATGCAATCTAATAAGAGTACTAGAAGAAGAAGAAGAATAATTATGATAAAAAATACAACAGTGAAACAAGTCGATCATGAGAAAAGAATTTAACCTTGGACTATACTTAAATTTATGGATTAATAATCTGCTTTTGTAACAATGATAAATTACAGATGTTCGTTGGAATGAAAATAATACATAGAAAGGGAAAAGTAAAGGTCATTGTTTTATTTTGTTTGCTCATGAGAATAAAATAATGCGTTGACACTAAGCTAGATAGAGTCTGTGTATTGTGAAATGAATTCGATATTGAATGGAATAATAGACATTTTCTATTTTCTTCGTTTTTGTTCACATTTGCACGCGCGATCGACTAACGATCAATTAAAGATGATTAGTTGACTGATAGAGTAGTAGACGAATGAAGACAGACACGCACATAGACCAGACATGTTTCAAGAATAAGTGACAATGATGACGAGATTTGCCTTTGCTTTTCTTTTCTTTACATATAATTCACTCATTTGTAAACACACTCATACTATATATCAATGCACTTGTCCTTCTTTCAGACACATTATAAATCCTTACGAACAATTCAATCTATCACGATCGAATTATTCAAGTTTCTATAAGATTACATATATAAATATTTCATTTGAAACCTTCATGGAGAAAATTGAATTTCTATCGTTCATGTATATAGAAAATAATCACACTTCGCTATTGATTAGAATAAAAGCTGAAACACAATAATAGGTTGCTCATATAGCGAAACAAATGAAGAATTAGAATGTCATCGACAACGGTCATTCGAACGTGTTTAATTACATCATACAAAGAACACTGATTTTTTTCTTCTTTGAATATGTACAGTTCACAGATTAGTTGTCTCTCATCTTTTTCCGCGTGTTTGAATAAAGCCAGTAAAACTCATAAAACAAAATATTCTGCGTATGTTGCCTTGAGGCCACCCGACAATAACTTTTCGTGGTTGTTATGCTCGTGCTAAAACAATTAGATGAATAAAAATCTATCGCTTGATTATTGTCACACTAGTGAGAACATGCCTCGAGCGATTCGAAACTCACTCATTTATTCACCATATCATACCGATGTGATTTAGTACAAATAGGAAATTTATCACTCTAGTCTGTGATCTTCTTGCCGATATCGAATGTGTCAGTGATTATTCTCCCGTAGGCTATTCGATGACAATAACCTTTCGCTTGAATAAATTTCATTCATATCATCATAGATTCTTTTTGAACAAACAAGATCAGAGGGTATAATGCTCCGATATACAACTGATATTGATAATTTTCTTAGCATAATGAATTCATGAACAAACAAACTTGGATGTTTTCTTTTTCCTCTCTTTTCTATTTACATTTGAAAACAATATGAAATTGAGAATATGATCGAAACAGAAATAATAAGTAACAACACTGCTTTTATTGTATCTAAAGGGAATTATAGTTTCAATGCTAACATCACGAATGTTTGTTGAACTTTCGTTACATTCAATTTTATAACTACGTGTTACTATGAAATTAGCAAATAAAACTTAGAATCCTAATAGCTTTTCCCCCTCTCTCTTTCTAAAGAGCAATTGATTATCTAGTGTTGTCTCAGCTGGTGAAGATATTGTAGCTTAATTGGAAAAATTATCGTCTCCAATGTTGGGTAATGACGAGGTGTTGATGAATTTCAAGAGTGTTGAGACAACCTAGTGTGACAAAATATATGAACATCAAATTTTCGCTTCCACGCAGAGAAGTGTCATTTTTTTTCTTTCTTAAATTTGTTGACAACTGATCTGAGTTACGTGATTGTGTGAAGAAGATATTCCATTGAATCATTGTTATAGTCAAAACTGAATGAAAAAAAATACAATCAAATATAAGATAAGATCTTGCTGCTATGAGATGGAATTTTTTTTTGCTTTGAGAAAATTTCGGTAATTATACACCTCTTATACATAGTATGGCGCATTCTCATCACTAAAGTAATATAATTATAAAAAGCTTGTTGAAGTGAAGAACACTGAATGGAAAGATGTTAATGCAAATTTTTCCATTGATTGATGTTTTGGATGACTCTCAATATTTCCTTTACGTTTATTATCTCACCGACAATGTCAATTGTTAAATTTGAACATCATAATAAAAAAATAAACAGCGTGCTTCGTAATCGTCATTTGAAGTAATCGAATTTTTCTCGATTACACTTGTTTTGTTTTATTGAGATGTGTATTGAAAAGTGGAAAAGCACTTCTATGAAATGTTGGTTAGGCAACAATTCTTTGTCGGCTAATAAATATTCTAATCCATTTATGATTATTGAATAGAACATAAATAGATCGACAATTGTACGATCGAAGTAAACATAACCAATTGGTTATATAATACAATGTTTTATGGCAAATAAATGATGAGTAAATAGAAAATTGTGAAAAAATTTACATTAAATATTTACAAATAATCATAGTATTTTAATATTTAGATGCCATTGAATGTTTTGTAGCAATACTTGATTAGATTTGTTCACAAATGTATGAAGGTCAAGAAAATATTGTTGACTAAAACTAATGATGATCACAAAAGCCCCGAGTTCCAAAGATAGTAAATATTAGTGTTGATAATCTGACTGTCTTTTGAATTGGCTTTAATAGTTGTGCTCGAAATTCATTTCATTGAATTCAAACTATTTCGTAATCTTTCTTTTTGAATGTTTGACAAAAGCTGAAAGAGTAATCGATTTATTTTAATACACAATAATGTCATGCATAATAATAGAAAGAATGTTCATTCAAAAAGAAATACCAGTAGGGTATGATAGAGTTACATAAACGAACAAACCTTGTCGACACTTCCTGTAAATGGACCATGAAAGTTGTGTATGAAGTTTGTGATCCTATTCCTACTGGAGTTTTATACGATTTCCCAAAAGAAAATATTCCCTTACAGCATCTAAATAATAATCCGAAAGTTTCTCAAAGTGTATAGATTTCCCTTAACACGTATTGTCACATACGTATAGGGGTGTGGGTGTGTGAATGGACGATTATAGCCATACACTAACATCTATATTGACATCCACACCCTTCCCCGGTAAAGATCTCTAGAAACCCTGCTAAGTGCTTTGAAAAACCCCTAGAGAACCATATAAAGCTTGCAGCCGATTTTCTCAACCAAGGAGAAAAATTTCAAAAACCTACTCGTATAATTTATTGAAGAATGATATGGCGAGTTGATTGACGCAAAAAAACGATTCTAGCATGAAAATTGAAACTTGTGAAAGGTTTGGAAGAAGGGGTACTCAGTTTTTCTGAAGACTGTATTGTAGAGGTCCTACTAGGCCACAGGTTTTTGTCCAGAACGTTATTTGGGGTGGGTGTGGGGTGTGGGTGTGGTGGGGTTTCCCCTCCTACTTTGGAAATTTTGACTTCAGTTTTCCGCCGACTTGAAGGAAATAGAAGAGATTTTTCCTCCCAAATTAAAGAGAATCTCTCACTAATAGAATAAAATTCAGAGGTATTTTTTGAGAAAAAAAGGAAGCTAATCTGAGACTTTTATTCGGAAAAATTTTAGTGTTCAGGCTTCATGAATTTTGGAAATATTTCTTGCAGTTTTCTGAAGATGGAAATGGGAGGTTTTTCCTCTTCTTCTTTCCTAAAACATTTTCTAGCAAAAAAAAGACAACTGATAACAATTATAAGAACAAATTGGTATAATGTAAAATAACAATTTCTTCTACTCCATTGATGCATAATTAGTCGCAGTCGGATTGATTAACCAAAGAAAAATGCGAATCAGTTCCTTTAGTACAGAATACTATACCCTAGTCTACTCTTCCCAAACGAATTCCCAAGGAGTCTCTGTCAATATTCGAACTTTTCAAAAATTTCCGAGGGACTTCTAAAAAATGATTAGGGAGCCCCTGTAGAAGTCCCTATGGACTCCCCAGTCAGTTTTTAGAAATCAGTCAGAAGCTTTTGAAGACGCTTTCAGATTTTTTAAGTAGGTTTTTGATAGTTTCGATAGAAATTGTTTCATATTTTTCTTAACTCCCAGGGTCTCATGGCAGGGGCTCCGTGGTGATTCGTCTGGGGAGAGTTGAATAGGGATAGAAAAACATTTCGACAAGTTATCGATCAATTTGTTACAGAATACAAACAACTTGTAGTATCTATGGATATAAATATTAAGTCTTTAGCAGCATTATCTCCTGAATATATCCTGAAGTTTACTGCTACAGATGTTGATAATATAAGTAAAATGGTACAGGTTAATGATAGTGTCTTGTTGTACATCGAAATACAATAATTCAAAGAGAAAATATATGAATGTGAAACGATTGCTCATGCAAGTAAATTTATTCCATTAATTACTCAAGTGTACCAATATCTTTTAACGGTTTAAACTAAATTTCTAGCTTTTTATAGCTTTTTTTTGATTTTCCTCCCATTTCTCTTATTGCTTGGCGCCATTCCTGTTCATTCTACGATATGAAATAAATTACATAAAAAAATGAGATTAAATTTGAATTTAACCAATATCTTATGATAATCAAAATATCGAAACTATAAAAAGAAAATGGTTCGCGTTAATTATAAAGAAACAAAGCAAAGAGAGATTATTGTTAGAACTAAAATAAAAATTAGGTAATTTTTCGTATGAAAGTAAAGAAAAGTCTATTAGCTGATCTTTACAACGAACAGAATCGAACAACGGAAGATGGCGGAGGTTTCGATATTATTTCTTTTATGCAGAGCTGTCATGATCTAACAAATGATGCTCAAGCAAATAAGTTTCACTTTAGTAAGAAAACTTTGTAAACAGAAATTAAATTTATTTTTTGATTTCAGATAATCATTATAATCAAGAAATTCATCATTGCATTCACGTTTTATCACGAATAACAGAAAATCATGTGGTTTTAGTTGATGAATATGTAAAATCTTATTTATGCTTTTTTAAAAATGAACACTGCCCAGGTCGAACAATACGGCCCGTTTACGGTTACTTTGCGATTATTTTCCGGGCGAAAGTTTGCCGTAATATCTGGCGCAGCAATACGGACCGTATGATCATGAGACTAAGGAGCACAAACAGCCGTAAACGAGCCCATTTTGATCAACCTGGGTGCATTTCTTTAATAGAGTTTTGCAAACAATGTTATTGTTGAAGGTTTAGCACAACTTATTATTCAGAACAATGTTCCTGATACATTACCAAAATATTTACTTGCATTAAATGTGAAAGTATTCTTCGGTAAGAATTACTTTACACTTTATAAATGAGTTTTATTCAGTTAAAAATTCCACGAACGATGACAAGATATTTATTTTCATCATATTAATAAAAAAAGTTTAACATTGAAATCATATAAATAGAAAATATCGTAATTGAATTTGATGTATTTCAGCTGGCACAAGCAGTTACGGCGAATTTGAAGATCGTCTCAAATTGCTTTTGAAAAAATTGTAAGTTCAAATACCCAAGTGAATGAATCCGATCGAATCTTATAAAATCCGACGAGCCGACAAAGTCCCATGGGATTCCGAGTTGAGGAACTACTAACGGATCCCTAGTGTTGGAATCCGGTGAACATCCGACCAAATCTAATAACCGGTACTGAAATAAATGAAAGTAAAAATAAACCTTTAAATTGCTGAACAAAATTATTTCAGAAATTTTATTTCTAGGTATAATTTATGCCGAAAAGTTTTTAAAATTAATGTTAAGTAGGCTGTTTATTATACATTTTATAATTTAATTAATTTTTTTCTTTAAAGCTCGCGATAAATGGCGTTTTATTATTGGTACAAAAACATTGAATGAATACAAACAATATATTGAGGAAAATTCAGAATTTACAAAATATTTTGAAAGAATTTTACTGAAAGAACCAACAGTCAACGATCACGAAAAATAAAATTGTTTTTCCCCCACTGTTATTTTTTTTCAATTGTCGCAATGAAGCAAACAAAAAATATTTAATTGAAACTGAGTTTAAAAATCATTAGAAGATTTCATTTCAAAAAAATCATTTTTCTTGTCTTTTTTGCAATAAAATCTCTTAATATTTGCTCCATATTAATTTCATTATAAGTATTTGAACGACTTTGATAGATTTCTAAATCATTTGTTTTTAACAGCAGCGAAAATAACTACACAATGAATATAAAGAGAGGCTACCATTTTGACGAAATTTACTTTTGCAGAAAAACTGCAAAAGTAAATTCCGTATAGTCTAACCTTATGTTGAATTATAATGTCATTGTGTAATTACATTATAGCACTATTACATAGTGACGNAAAAACCATATTTTTCGCTTTCCTGTACCCCCCTCCAGGATCTTCAAAGTGAAAATTGTTTTCGACTTCAAAGGATCTATTGACGTTAAATCGTTGGGGAATGTCTGCTGATTAAAGATGCATTAAATTTTCCACAATGTATGCTGCACATTGTTGGAGTATTGTCTATGTACTGGGACTTCTATATGACAAAATAGCCGAATTTTACCACTATTTTCAAGATTACCGACGAGCCCCTGCAGCTCAGAAAAACTGGGTCTATCAAATATGTAGAGCTCAGTGACAGACACTTTTTAGGAAAGTTTCACGTTGTTACCACATTGTTCTACTGCACAGGACTGAAAACAGTAAAGTGCATTTTGGTGAAAAAATGTCATTCATCGATAGAAGATGAAACTAACAAATATGAAAAATTGAGCACCACTCATAATTGTATCGAACTGAATTTTAAAACTAAATCTGTATATACTCATTAGAGATGATCATAGGAATGTACATTTTCTATTAATACCATATGCCAGTATAGAGAGTATATCGACTGTAACTACACAAAACCGTTATGAAAACTTGACTTCCTATATACCATTAGATGTATCTCAACGAGCTCTACAATACTATATAAAAATGGTATCGATTCTAGAAATTGTTTTTATCCGGAGGGGTCCTTTGAATAATAATCGATTATTGAGAAGTAAAAGTTGAGACTAGCAAATTGATTTGTCTTTTCGTCAAGAGATAGGTCGATTTGTTTCTAATCGCCTTTATGAAAAAGTTTTTTTCCGTCCATACAACCCAATGTATACTTGTTTTATGATATATCATACAGAATAAATCATGCACTGAATACCATCTGAAAAGAAACAATTCAATTATCAAAAATGCCAATTACTTCGGAAACTACACAAAGGATTGTTAAATACTACATATTTACTTTTAAGTTGTTGACATCAAACTATCCTGAAGTAAAACCGGTTTTAACATAAACTCATTTATTCCCCTTGAACCTAAAATTTAAAAAAACATGGATATCAGATTTTCTATTCTTCCATTGAATAGGGTTCATTAAAAGCCATATTGTCACGCCTAAAGCGATTAACCAATACTCACGTCGTACCTAAAGAAATACCGCGAATCATGCACAAAACCATTAGGCAAAAATTCAATGCGGACTCCAAGGCGTTTTCAATTGCAGTTTTTCATAAGGACATATAAAGATATTATCGAGACACGCTGATTTCTGAAATTTCTCTTTCATTTGCCTCATTTGTAACTCGCATAGAATCCATAAATTTACATAGCGCCTCATGAGTATCTTCATTATATGCGAAAAACGTCTTGCATGCTACACTTATACTCCGGAGACTAAGATATTTAGCATTATCCAATCATTTTTCATCTGCGAAGTGATTCGTAATATAAATTCATTTTTCATCCAGTACACACTTGATCCCGAAAAAAAACATACTTCAACAACCTGACGCGTTTCTCTTTAAATCACTTACAACTAATCTGCCATCGCAGAAGCCCTTATGCAAGATCACAACGCGTCTTGGCTAGCTATACTCACCGCTATGCTACTGATATCCTTTACTATTTCTTAATCGAAATAGATTGTAAGGATTAAGACACTATATCTATGATTTCGATTTGCAATCATTCAGCTTATTGTTGCAGAGTTAAAGCTAACTGATGAAATCCTTAAGTAAAATCGAAACACGTCTTGGCTAGCTAAACTCAATCCTATCTTAAAGGATATATAATATTCTGCTGATCCTTTGAATTCTGTGGTTTTTGTTAGATTATTAGATTTTATCTATGATTTATGTAATCATTCACATAAGTCGAGCAGAGTTAAAGCCAACTGAAGAGACTCTTAAGCAAGGTCGAA